TATATATTAAATATAATATAAATAATATAAATAAAAAAAAATTATTATATATTAAATATAATATAAGAAATAAATTATATAAAATTATGTATAATTACAATTGATATGTAAATTTACCATTAAAGACATAAGTGCAGGTAAGAATTTTGTTACAACTTGACTATCCAGTTTAGGTTCTTTAAAATCTTGTGAATCAATCATTTGCCAAGCAGATAAACCTAATGCAAGCATTCGTAGTAACAGTACAAGAACTGCATTTTCTCTAGGTAATGCTTCACCATTTATCAAATGAAGTGCAATTTTAATTGCACTGCTAGCAAGAAAATTTACTGCATATGGATCACATAATATCATGCTTAAATCACCCAGTACTTGTTCTTGACCTCTCTGTAGGAAACTATAGATCATTTCACTTTTCTATCAATTAATAAAGAAATAATATTATTTAATACAGATTGTCTTATTATATACCTTAATACTATCTAGAAAACCTTGCAATTCACGGGATCTTTTAATGTCAACATTTTTTTCTCTAATACATGCATCAAGGCACCAAGTAAATTTGTGACATGGATCTACAGAAATAATGTCTTGTACCTAAATATTCAGCATTTATATAACATTATAGCAATATCATAGAATATTGTATTAAGTACAAATGGTATAAATTTACCTCTAAATCATGTAAGGCCATTAATAATTCTGCTCTTAATGTACAATAATGTATATTTTTTGTACGTAAAAATAAGGTTCTTAAAAATTGTAAAACCATGTCATATAATTTTACACTATGTCCAATCATATGTGCTAGTTTCTGTACCACTTCACCTTGTCTTCTAACCTAAATATATAAATTGTATGATTTAAGGAAGTTTAAGAGTCTTGTTAATATTCAAACATACCTTGGGAGAAGGCATAAAGAAAAGACTATTTAAATTTCGATGGTCAAATAGTATTTGTTCTTTCTCAATGATATATCGGCTAAATAATGGAGAAACTTCATCTCCAAATAAACTTTGATTATCTTTCCAAATTTGACGTTTAACTTCAGTGTCTGCATCGTTATATAACTCTTTCTCTCGAACTAGTACTCGTAAATACTTGTCTTCTATATGTGGAGTATTTCTTAAAATACACATTACAACTGGTCTTAGCGCTGCAACTCTAACAGCAGGAAAACTTTTAGACAATAATTCTTTTAATCTTCTGTCTCCTGTTGAACCTTTATCTGCTCTTTCTGTACCAATCTCATTGATTCTTTTTATTAATTTTTCTCTTAATTCTTCAAGCACTGATGCATGGAAATCTAGTCTTCTTACTCCATGAAGATCAAGTAAAGGTAACATAGGTCTTAAAGATGGTAATAAAATTCCATTTTCCAACTGGAATCCTTCAATTGCTTTTAATGGATCTGTACAACTTGTTAAAGCATCCCTTAAGAAACCTTGTCCAGGTATACCAAGATCATCCAAACCATTTCCAATTTCACAACTATTTTTTACAGTGTTCATTATTATGTTCCTTTTACATATAAATGAAATATAAATTTATAATATATTACTACAATTGATTAAAAATTATAATTTTTTCATATTGTAAAAAAAAACAATCAAGTATTTTTAATTTTTAATTAAAGTTATTTATCAAATATAATTTCTTGTTGTATATTCTTGTTGTGCAACTCTATATTACTGTATATGATGTATATAATTTTATAGAATCTAGTGTAGTGTTACACATTATAGTATCACAATGAATTTTACAATATTATATTCACTATAATTTTTATTTTAGGTTATTTTTTAGGCCCATTTCATTAAATGCGTATAAATGTTTTATATAATTTCTTTTCGATACAAAATTTCATATTCAGTTTATATGCTTGTTAAACCTAATATGAACGAAAAGAATATACTTATCTGTGGTTATTCTATATGCCTTCACAAAGTATCTATAGATACACGTATATGTGCGTGTATGTTATATATAGATAACACAAATGTCAGCTCAGATGAATATATGTGATGTATAAAGACCAAAATCATACAAAAATTGTATGTAGATTGCTACTATTTTAAATATGGTACAAATTCAAGTATAAATGGAATATTAAAGTTGTCTATAAATTTATAAAGTGTTCTAATTTAAGAAGGATTAAATCGTGTTCACTTATTTAAAAAAAAGTAGCATTTTAGGTTACCATGGCACAATCAACAGCTAGTGGAACATCTTCTCGACGATATATGAGGGAACACGATGTTAATGTAGCATCTTCATCGCGCTATGTGGATAGTGAATGGGAAACCAAAGAGGTAATAATTACAATTTGTTATTTTTATCTTTAAACTATTACAATGTGTTTATGCTATATTGTATGAAAAATTAGTTACTCTTTATGCATATCAAATTTTAAAAACAATTATATCTCCTATGTCTAATATTTGGTAATTTATTTATTGATAACATATTTAGGCTTTACGACAAAGAGAACTCGAAGAAGCAAGAGCACGTGCTGCACAGATGGAAAAAACAATGAAATGGTGGTCAGATTGTACAGCTAATTGGCGTGAAAAGTGGAGTAAAGTACGTAATGAAAGAAATTTGGCAAGAGAAGAAGCAAAAACGCTAAGAGCAAAATTAGAAATTGCTGTAAAGGATGCTAACAGTTATAAGCATGAATGTCAGGAACTTGAGTTACAGAATCTACAATTAAAAAAGGAAATGGAAAAAATACATATGGTATTATTGAAACATGCTGGACAATTTGATCAACAAATTTTTACAGTATTAGAATCAGATCCACAATTAAGAAATACATTAGGTATAGATGAATTATTGAAATTTTATAATAATGTGGAACAAAGTGAAAGTGTAAATTCTCAAAAAGATTTACTAACTTGTAAAGCTTCTCTTGATGAATCTAATGTTTGCTTGGGAAATCATAGTATTTTACCAGATAGAGATATTGAAGAATATGTATTACAAGGTGCAGTGCCAAAACATGCTGTTGAATTATATAAAGAAAGTTCTCTTAATTCATTAGATAAAGATATTGCAAGATTAGTTGCAGATTCTAGTTCTACAGAAGATAGTATAGAAAAAAAACACTCCTCGTTGCAAACATGTACACATGAATCATATACACAAAAAATATTATTGCTTCAACATAAATTGGATGAAGCTACGAAAACTATTTCTACAGAAAGAGAGTGAGAATATGAAAAGTTGTTATTTATTAACATATTTAAATATAATTTATTGGATTAATTTGAAAATTTTTTTAATAGAGAAAAAAATTCTTTACATCGTGGCATGGAAAAATTAAAAGCAGAAATAATACAATTAAGAAAACAGTGTGAAGAATTAGAGGAAAGTAAAGCTGAAATTACAAGAGAACTGCTTGAATTAAAAGAACGGTTTCAAATTGAGCTTAGTGATGTACAAGCTGGTATAATTGATGAAGTTTCAAGTAGAGAAGGAATGAATCGTCGTCTATGTGAACTTAGAACTGAAGTAAATTTTATGAATATAAAAATAGAAATATTCTTAAAACATTAATTCATTATTTAATAACTTGTAATTATATGATTTTAGTTAGAAAAACTTCAAGCAGAAAATGCAGCCGAGTGGGGGAAACGAGAACGTTTGGAAACGGAAAAAATTTCTTTAGAACGTGAAAATAAGCAACTTCGTAATGAACTAAATGATTTGCAAGAAAGGATAGAATCTCGACGATCGCGTCCTGTTTCTACATCAGATAGTGATACAAGACAATTACAACAAGAATTTTTAGTTAGGAATGTGGTTTGTACTATGTGCTAATATTTTAATTTAAAAATAATATAATATACAATTATATTAATTTGATTAAACAATTGTTAGACAATATTGAAAAAATCTTTGGAAGAAAAAACAACAGAACTCTCACACGCTATGAGAAGATCAGAACAATATGAAGCAGAAGTAAAAAGAGTTAGAGCAAGAGTAGAAGAATTGAAGAAAGAATTAGCTGCAGTTCAAGATGAAGTAGATGTAGCAACTAATAATGTTCGTAAATTACAACGAGCAAATGAAGATCTTTTAGAACAGTTAGAATCAGCTAATGTACAGCTGGAACATTTTCGAAATAGGTAAATAGTATCAACATTAATGAATATCTTCATTGTGTTATATATCCACATTTTTTAAATTAAATTATAGAACTCTTATTGACAATTAATTTGTTACCAGTACTGATTCCTACACGGTAAATGTAGGAATAAGTGGAAATTTTGAAGAAAAATTATGTATAGCCAATGATGGCAAATTAACAAATAGTAAGTTCCAATATTTTAGTCTGAACATTAATTTAATAAATACAATTATATTCAATGAACATTGTTTCAGAGTATGAGCCACAACAAGCCTAGTATTCACTCATTTTAATACTAATTTTGAATTAATTTGAGTGATGATAAATGTGAAACTTGGAATGTGAAAAACAAATTTTTCTAAATTTTTCAAAAAAATATGTACCAGTTGATATAGAAATACTTCTAAATTATGAAAAACCCTGTTAAAAGTATAGATAGAATTAATTTATTTAATAACTGAGCTTAAATAATGAAAAATCATTTCAGTATTGTATTATTTTTTAAATTATATTATTTTTGTAGGTTTGTATTATAATTTGCTTTCTTTTTTATTAATTTGATGTATAACTGTGTATATAATATTTTGTGTAATATTTTGTACTATGATAGCTTTTTGTGAATATTTTAAATATTTTATATTTGTATAAACTCACATTCCAATGCATTGTTTTAAATATTTTTATTGTATGTATATAAATAATGTATATAACGTAAATCATATATAATTTCAAATTTTGCCTCTACCTAAAGACTGGTGAAGTTAGATAATGAGAGATTATCTATACCATCTATGATACCTGATATTTATACTTGTAATTTCTGTGCTGTCACGAATGTTTATAAAATAAGATTTATAAAATTGTGAATGTATCTATGTCTATATTATGTAGAAGTTGATGTATTAATTTTAAGTAGAGAAACTATTTAAATTTGTGTTTGACTGTAATGGATTTAAGAAAAAATATTCAGAACGTATTTATTAATTCATGTAATTGATATCTGAAAAATAGAATGTAAAAGAAGAAGAACAACAGAAAGATGAATTTTTTATTTGTTTAACATGTTTTATTGGTAAAAGAGGATAAATAGAAAAAATTGATGTAATATTAAATTTATAATGTACATTTAGTACAAGTACCTCAATAAAAATGATATGTAGCATGTATATGTGAAAGAAAAATAATAGAAATATGATTACATTCATAAGATATATGAATGATCATAAATATTAATGCAAAGATAAAGAAGAATAATCTAAATTGTAATAAAAAAATATTTCTAATATTAATAAAATATGAAATCTATGAATAAAATTAAGTTTTTGTAAACAATATAAGTTTTCAAAATTAATAATCACCATTTAACATCTCATTGGTGTACCATCAGGATGTGTTGGCACTTTTGGTTTGCAGATTTTTGTTCTACCATTTGAACCATATACAATATTACAAGAAAATGTAAAATATCCACAAGTTGAACTTTTAGTATAATAACGATGTTCATATTTTCTTGGCGAATTTCTATCATCCATTTTACCAGCGATACTATTTGTTACTGTATAATAACTTGGTTTCATTGATATATTAGAAGAAGGTTTTGAATATTCCATAGAAGTTTGGTTTTGAATTAGTGGCAAATTTTTGTTTTGTTTTTCTTTAGATGAAACAAGACCTTCCATTAATCTTTCATGATTAGTTTTAAGAGATCTGATTTCTGAGATGGGTGATTTATTTTCATAAATCATACCTGATTCTTTCGGAATTAAAGAAACTGTTTGAGATTTAGATTTTCCATTGCCATGAACAATGGTTTCATCACCAGCTATAGCTGTTACTCTACCACGAAAACCAGGTGGTATAGTATATCCTGATAATGATTGTCCAGGTTGAAGCACATCTCCAACTTGTGCTGTGTTTGTATCCTGCTTTACATGAATATCATATTGCTTCTCAGTTACATCATGTATTATTGGCGATTGACGATTACTATTATTTTGGTCTGTAGTATAAATTTTTGAAATTTTTGAATTTATTGAAGTTTGAATTGGGGTATCATAATCTTCACCATCATATTCTTCTTCATAATCATATAATGTATCATCCACCTGTGATTTTTCTAATGATTGATTTGGTTTACTAGCTACATTTCGTGAATTATCATTTGTTGGCTTAGTAATAACTCTTCTTTGGGAACTAGAACTAGTCTGTAAACCTTGCTGAGATTTGTCTTGATTATATTCGTAATCTGTGTCTGAAGATGTATTTACTACCTCGCTATTATTTTTTTGTACGATTTGTGGTCTATAAGATGGCTTAAATGATTTAAATAGTTCAGTATCTGTAAGATTAAAATTAAATGGTTTTCTAGAAGCTGATGCACCAGATCCTGATCCTGCTTGTGCAGCACCAGTGTAAGTAATTCCATATTGGAAAGATCCTTCAAGTTGAGATTGTGATTGACCTGTATATGCTCCACTTTGAGCAGAAGCTGTTCCACCTCCATGAAATGGTTTTGAATGTTTTTCAATTTTTTCATCCATGTTGAGATATGGTTGAAAACCAATTTGAGCTTGACTTGAAGTACTTCCTTCACCGTTAGCTTGAGCATCTGCCATTCCACCTTTTGAACTTGCTTGTACCTGAGAATTTGTACCATGGTTCCAACCACTACTTTGTGCACCTGTTGCTGTAGCGCCTGATTCTGAATTTAATTGAACTTGTGTTTGACTTTTTCCATAACCACCAACTCCTTGAGCATTGCTTACAGCACCTTCTTTACCACCATTAATTTCTGTTTGTGCACTTTTATTAATATCAGTACTACCAGCTTGAGCTGAAAATGATCCAGAACCACTATAAGTACCTGTTACTTGAGACTGAGCTGTACCTTGCCTAAATATTCCTTGAGCTGATGCACTTGCATGAGTTCCTGAATTTGTTTGTTTTACAGAACTAGATGCTTGAGAATTAGAGTTATCATCTTCTACAGGTAAAATATTATTAGGTTGTTGATGATATTGATGAGTTTCTCCAGTATTTGTTATAAATCCTAGATTGGATGGATATTGTACAAGAGGATATTGTCCAATACCTTGTTTTTGACTTGGGTACTGTTCAACTTCTTGCCTATTCCCAGTTAGTGAGGTTGAAGTTCCTCTATCATGCCATGTTGAGGAGCTAGGGTATTGTCCTTGTAGTGGATGACCTGTTGGTACTACTGTCTGACTGTCAGGATACTTTCCTACTTCAGAAACTTGTCTTGTGCTATCTCCAGGATATCTCATTGTACCATGGGAATAAGAAATTCCTGGTTGGCCAGTTTCAATTTTTTGAAGATGGATATTGTTAGATCCCATTTGAACTCTAGTGCCATCAACACCAGCATTTGGTTTAGTGTAGCTTACATGATCACCTGTTACAAAGTGCCCAGTAGTCGTTGGCACAGTCCCTCTAGAATACGTAACACTACTATTTGGAACTGTGATAGACATTCCTGGTACAATGCTTCTATCAGTTGCTCTATTTGATATTATTTCTTCTGGATAATGTATAGTTTCTCTTAATTGATCTGATGGTGATGTAATACCACTGTTATAAATACGTTTGGTATCTGGTATAATACCACTTGTTCTACCACTAGTTGAAGTTTCTGGTGAACCAGTATTACGATATACACCTCCTTTTATATCACTTTCTCTACTAGCAAGATAAGGCCTTTCACCAAAGAATTGTGTAGTAGGAATCTGTCCATTAGGATATACTTTGGTATCTGTAACTACTTTTGAATTTGTTACAATTTGACCACGAGCAGTTTCTCTTGTTTCTGGTATAATACTACCAGTGTATGTCCCAACTCTATCATTTGGTAATGAGCTCTGTGTACTATCAGGATAAATTAAACCATTGCTAGTTACAGTACCTCCACTAGCTACAGGTATACTTCCAGGATAAGATGTGCTATCACTGATCGTAGTACCAGGTATACCTCTAGGGTAAGGTATACCATCAGTTCTAGTAACAGGTATACCTCCTGGATACATTACACCACTGCCAACTGCACCACTTATACTTTCAGAGTATGATGTACTATCGATTGTAGGGCTAGGTACAGCTCCAGGATAAGGTGCAATTTCTCTTGTTGCAGGTACAACTCTAGATACACTTCCAGGATATAGTATTCCAACACCAGGTGTAGTACCAGTTGTAGTTGCAGGATAAGATACACTTCCTCTAGGTGGTGTACTAGATACACCTTTAGGATAATCTACTCCACCAACAGTTGTAGTACTTGGTATACCTCCAGAATACACTACTCTACCACTAGTTATAGTAGCAGGTACAGTTCCAGAATATAGTATATTTCCTCTAGTTGCAGTATCAGGTGAAGTCCCAGGATAAATTATATTTCCTCCAGTTGTAGCAGTAGGTATACCTCCAGGATAAACTACTTCACCACCAGTTGTACTGCTAGGTACAGTTCCAGGATAAGGTATAATTTTTCCAGTTATAGCAGCAGGTGCAGTTCCAGAATAAGGTACATTTCCACCAGTTAAAGCACCAGGTGCAGTTCCAGGGTACGGTATATTTTCTCTAGTTGCTGTACCAGGTACAGTTTCAGGATAAATTACCCCATTAGTTGTAGTTCTAACTACACCACTAGGATAAACTATACTACCACCAGTTATACTACTAGGAATACCTCCAGGGTAAATTGCATTACTACCAGTCATACCACCTACATTTCTTGAGTGTGGTACATCACCATTAATTGTAGTACCAGATATACTTCCAGGATAAACTGTACCACTGTCAGGTGTGCCATCTGCACTTCCAGCATTTGGTGCACCATTACCAGTTGTATCACCTACACTTCCAGAGTATAGTGTAGCACCACGAATTGGAGTATTAGGTAAAGCACCATGATAAACTGGACTATCACTAGTGCCATATATATTGCTAAGATAAGGTGTATGATCTCTAGCTGTGCTATCTGATACTCTACTGGGATAAGTTGTGCTCATTCCAGGAGCAATCATATCAGAATGACCAGTACTATCTCCTGGTTGTTTTATTGCTATAACAGTATTAAATTATATTAGTTTTATCAGCTGTATCTGTAATTGTATTTTACTGATTATTCATATAGTGGTATCTGAAATCTCAGTTTTTATTCTTGGTACAGAAATTCTACCATAATTGATATTAGTATTTATAGTACCTGAAACTTGAATGTATCTATCTGGAGTGTTTTCACTACCATATTTTGGACAATCTTCACACCCAATACCACCTAATGACATACTTTGTGCTTGACCCATACCATAGTTTCCACCTAAAGATACATTCAACAATTTTTTATTTTGTATCAAAATTAAACAATAAAATGCATATAATAAAATAGAAACGTTCTTTTGAATACTTACTAACAACTGCGCGGGAAGATTGTTGAGTAGCTTCAGCCTCGGCTTTGCCTTCTTTTTGTTCATTATTACTGATGCTTAAATACTGAGACTGTGTTTGGCCTCGAAATTTACCTGGAGCCTGTTGTATTTGACGACGTAAACGATTTTGTTCAAAGTTTCTATTAAGCTTTTGTCTTTCTTCAAGTACGATTTGTCTCTTAGCTCGACTTATCAAAGGTGTTAAAACTACATCAGCTACTCTTTTTGTTACGACATCATTTTCATCAAGAGGAAATATCTCAAAAAAAGGATCTATTATTTGTTCAGGTATTGGTGCAGTTCTTTGTAGTAAAATAATTTTGCGTTCGTTACAGAAATCAACTATTCTAGCTCCTGCAACTTGCCATGCCTACAAAAAATAAGTAATTATTTATTTTATGAAAATAATTAATAATGATAAGTAAAAATATATTTTATTACCTCTAATTGTGTTAAAGGTTCGTTTGAAGCATAAAGAATTTTTGGCGTCTGTTTTTGTTGTATAATTTCATTTTTTGAACGATCTCGTGTAGCTACATCATTTCCTAGTTTTTCTATATAACAATTATATTCTTCTTTATCTTTATACGCTTTAAAATGCTGTAAAGAATTAGAATCATAAAATATCATCTATATAATATCAAAGAACAGAAGTATTTAATACCGTTTCGTAATCAGTAAATGTCCATTGTGTTTTTATTAAATATTTTTTTATGTTCGGTGTTTCGAAGTCATCGTATACAGAGCGATCAAAACGTCTTTTTTCCTGTAAATGAAATATTGAACGAATTATTGAAATTAAAGCAATTATGTAAAAATATTATATAAGGAGATCAAGAAAAATGATGTATGAAATTTAATACTGAAAATAATTATTCATCTGACATCCAGGTTTTATTACATCTATAAAAATGATTATAATTTTAAATATATCTAACTGTTAATTTTTATAACGTTAGTTATTAAAATTTTTTTATTTTTTAAAAAAGACAACAGATATAAATTGATAATATCTTATTTAAAAAAATGTAAAAATAAAGGAAACTAATCAAATAAAAAAATTTGGAGTAGGTCGAGTTATTTCCTATCAACTTATCATATGAACTTTGATCTCCAAATCTGTTTCTTAAGTAGCTATAGTAACTAATATTTAATTTTATGTTAATGAATCCAGTTAATTGTGGCAAACTAGAAGAAACATGGAAAAGTGCTATATATAAATTATTTATTTGCATATATGATGTATTTTTATTATCATGTAAGTAAACTTAAATATTGAATAATTTATCATTATAATTTATTTATGATATATTGATTTATTAATAATTTGAAAATATATATACTTTTATTTAATTCGGCTAGTACACTTGTCTTTTTGTGAGTATTTTTTAAGCATGTATTAAAGTAAATTCATTCATTAAAGCAAGTTATTAAATGTTAAATAGAAAATAATAAATGACAACTTACGTAGTACCTCGAGAGTACCGTTCCCGAGAAGAAAACCAAGATGACAAGGATCAGTCGCATGGCTCCAATTTACTTCAGGGCCTTCTTTACGACTGTTAGCTTCTATTTGACGGTAATACTAGTAGATTGATTCGTCAACTCCCACCAAATACTTCTTTCGTTTTCTTCTTCTTTGACTTACTTATGCTCGATCTTGTGAAGAGATCAAGAAGCATGAGGATTTGGATTAAAGAGAGGAAGGGGAATCGGATTGATAGGGGAAATTCTAAGAAGTGCGGATATGTAAATCGTGATTTAAATGCGTCTGCACTCTTATAAGCATTACGTTATCTTATGTCGTCTCATGGTGTCCAGATCTCATTACCGGCACGTTTTCACGAACATTCCCGATTTCGTTTTGTAGTAACGGTATTTATGTTGCTGCAATAAAAATAGTTAGAATGTAAAAACATATAACGAGAATGAAAGATGAATAAAAATAGATCTAGTTTGTTTTATATAATTTATGTTCTTTAACATATAATGTATTTCAAATACTTATCAATGAAAAGTTTTTATCCAAAGAACCTGTTTATATTGTTATAAATGAATATGTACTTAACAAAATCGTTATTATGATAATGTACATAATTTTTGTTTGTTTTTATTTATTATTTGCTTTATTTATTTGTTATAATTTATTTGTCAATATTACCTTAATAAGACACCTCCTTTTCCCTTGACCATAGTATGTAGTATTTTAAAAATCATATTTCCATTTGCGCAAAATTATTCTGGATAATATTAATCAGTTTCACCATACTATTTCGCAGCTTTAATTCTCAAGACGCAAATATCTTTCTAATCGTGCATGATATCGTCTAAAGTCAGTTTATGTGACCATCTTCGACTGACTAAGATAGATGCGTTCCCCTTCATTGCCCTAATTATAAACTCCAATCCATTTGGTAAATACAACAAGTCGTTGTTTGTTCTGTTTCAAAGCATTATTAGCTATCGCATAGTTCATCGGTAATGTAAAAAGTTAGACGAGTAAAAGAAAAGTGAATTTGAACAACGTGATTTACGTAAATTTGTATCTCGCACGTGCAAATTTTTTATTGCATTTCATAGCTGCTTGTTTTACAAGCTGTGTTCACTTAAGCTTTTATTATAAATAATTTTTTATCCTCTGAAAGAAATTTGGATACAATTAGTAGTAATGTTTCTTTTACGAAATTTTGTTTCATTTCTTTTCATTTTTGCAGCATAAGATGAAGAGTATGTCATTTAATAGGCAAAACAATATTTCGAAATAAATTTCGAAATTGATATATTAAGCTGTAAGAATTAAAATTATAAAGATTAAAACTAAATATATTAAGAGGAGGTTGTTATAAAAATATTATGTCATAGGTATATGTAGTTATACATACTTTTTTTTTTTCGTTTTAATAGACAAGACTTGCACAATTCGTAGAAAAAATGGTAAAATGTTTGCTTAGGCACTCCAATGTACAAATGGTACATTACATATATAAAACAATAATGCATTACAACTGCACTAACTATTAGAACTATTTGTGATACTCTACATACTAATATATATCGCAGGGAATGCTATTTACAACGTGTGGTTTTACACGACTATACAATGTAATATTACATTTTGGGATGTAATGTAATGTTCTATACTTGATTTTCGTAATAGATCGATGACTAGGATACACGCACGTTTGCACGCTTTTGATTTCAGGTTATTACAAACACATGTTCTAATATATAATTTTAGTGTGAAAAAAATTAATAAATTACATGACAACTTTATTATAAAACCGCTGCTATTCGATTTTTTGTGCAACCGTCGTTTTGTAAGTTATTATTTTTAGTTAGAGAAATAAATAATCGCTTTTAATAAATCATCTAGATGTGAACGTAATGTTGAAAGAGAAATGGGAACTATGTGTGAACTATTTCATATACACCAATAAAAATTCGATAGGTTGCGCTTAGAATAGCAAAGCGGATTGGACTAGTTTACACTCGAATCGTCACCAACGATCGGTAATAGATCGAAAACGAAGAAAAATTCTTAATTATTACGTAATACGACCACCAGAGGGCTACTAGACTGCATATGGCCGTCGGTTTCGTTTCTGAAAATTCGAATCACAGACGATACGCGTTCGTATTTAAAAACGCGATTAACGTATTACAGTATAAAACTACTTTCTTAGATATATATCTGCAGCAAATGTGACACCCGAAATTATATTTATCCACATTACCTGCTGTTCTAACGAATATCTTAGTTGCTATTCAGTACCTTTTCCATTTACAATATGCATTACAATAAATTTTAGTCAAATATGAATTTGACTATCGTAGTAAAATATGTTAATTTACTATAAATTCGTTAGAAGAAACGTGGAACATAAATTTTAAACGAAGTGATATAAAAAGCTACAAGTTCTCAAAAATGTAGTTCTTTATATACAGGCTACTCGAAGAAAAATATTTGTTTCTAACTTTATATTACGATGAAATGAATTTTTAAAATTCGATTGGTATTCATTGGTAACCTACACTTCAGTATATGTCAATTTCAAGCCTCAAGGAATTTTATAGCTGCCTGGAAGAGCTTGGAAAACTTGATTGTCACAATTAATACTAAAGTAGGTATGCATATAGGCACTGCAATTCACTTTAAATCAATAAATTACTTTTGTTTCTTAATACAACGCGTGATATGTCTTTAAAAAACTGTAACTACATACGAATAGTATTTAAGGCACAACACTAGGAATTGGTAATTCACAATTTTATCGTTAATGTGACTATGTGCTAGATGGTCCCTAATTAGGAAGGTGCATGGAATAATATTTGTGATGTTATCTATATCATTAACATTTGTTACGTTGTTGAACTTGTAAAATTAACCCCATGCTTAACTATAAGAAAGAGTGGGTGCTATTTGCATAGAAAGATTTCATTAAGTAAGACAATAGAATTTCAAACGTTTTCCATTAAAACTTAACGAACTTATCTCGATATTGATAGGAATGACACTAGTTGCTAATAAGTAATTACGTCTTTGTATCTCTACGAAGCGATGTTTTAATTGTTCATTTTTTGATATAGGTGGTAGTTCTTTCGTGTTTCTAATACACATTTGATTTCAAATCCAACGTTCCGTATGCATAAAATAATCTTTGGTGTACCTTTATACGATAATATTGCTATCATTATTTGATAGAAATACTTGCCGTAGTTCTTGTTTTATTGTTTCAGCCGAATATATTTCTTCGACATTCCATTCATAATTCTATGCGATAGCTAAATTAAGTGTCATCGTTGTCGGCTGGGAAAATGCGGAAGATCTCGTGGGATCGGAAAAATCGTAATTGCTGGAAGAGGTTTGGCTATCATTGTTGAAGCGATTGAGATGTTCCGGATTAGGAGATATGACGGAAGTTCTAATGACCATTCTGGACACGCACTCTGGATTTTTCGTAACGTTATCAGGTGTTTTCCTTTCACGTTCTTCACTTGGAGTTTTCTCTCTGTAGGAACGTTTCGATGGTGGAGGCGCAGTGGATACATCAGGGACTCTCGTATGTCTGATAATCGCAGAGAATGCTGAAGATGAATTTCTTTGGTCGCGGTTGAGGCCCAAGCGAGGAACAATAACGCTGGTAGGGGATGCCGTAACACATGACGTTGTTTGTAATCTGCTCAAAGAAGAAGGTAACGGTGCACAGGATTTTGTTGACGACGGCGTTATCTTTTGATCATTCCCATCAGTTTTATCTGCAGATGTTCGATGATGAGCTCTCATACACGATGATTCTTCGTGTTTATAGAGATACGACTTTAGAGCAAATGCTTTACCGCAACGACCGCACACATGTGGTTTAGTGTTTGAATGCGTTTGTATATGGGCACGTAAGTTCGATTTATCAGCAAACGCTTTATTGCAGATCGTACATTTAAATGGCTTTTCACCTAATATACAAAAAAGAAATGTCATCTAATTGCGTGGTGAACAAGTAATAATAGTTAATGAAATTCGGTATATTTTTATATTCTATTAATTATCACTCTATCAGTATAATTTCTCTGTATAAATTCTCACCTGTATGAGTACGTATGTGTCCTTGCAGGAGCCATGGTCTCGAGAAACATTTGCCGCAATAATGACATTTGCACCCCTGATTGTGCGTCCTAACATGCATACTGAATGCAGGCATACTGACATAGACTTTATCGCAGTGTGGACATCTCCTAGCCTTTTTGTCTCCGAGGGATCTATGTGTTTGCCTGTGTCTGGCCAAATTAGAGGATGTCGAATACTTTTTTCCACAATCAGGACATTCGTGATCTTCGTTGTCTTCTGACTTTGATGTCTCAGTTGAGATTGATGTTGTCCTTCGGCTTTGAGAGATCGCAGAAGGTGTTGACTGAGTCGATTCTAATTCAGCTTTATCAAGAGAATTTTCAGGGGTATCGAGATTTCGACGTTCTTCTTGCAAGTGATGAGAATGAGACGAAACATGGATACCTAGAACTGTATTTCTCTCTGAACGATTTTGTAATATCTCACGTTCGCACTCAATTCTTTCGAAGAATAGTCTCGTTCTTTCACCAAGTGACTGCTCATCTTCGAGAGCTTCTGGGTGATCTTGAAATTGCGGTTCTTGTTGCTTTATTAGTGGTGTCATCATTCTACCGCATTTGTCGGAAAATTGAGCACACCTAGGCGAAGCTGGTTGCTGATAAATCACGTTGTTCGGATGAATCAACGTGCCAGCAGCTGCCGCTAAACTCACTTCTGCTAGTTTCGTGAGATTGTATAGTTCCTCCGGACACTCTGATGATGTTTCGCTGCCGCATTCACTAGCGCCGTCAGAAGTTGGATGATTCCCACTGTAATCGGCCAACCTTACTCCTCTTTCAGGACTGAAATCTATGAGAAATTAAGAAAATTAGGTTTCTATCATCGGTCTCTTTTATATTTCTACGAGATGCTTTTGTATTCGAACACTCTATGTTAAAAATTATAATTTGTAGTAGTAAAAAATACGAAATATTAGCGTCAGGTCGTTGCGTTCCATAATAAAATTAAAGGAGGATCAAAATGCGGCACGTGGAATCATTTATCATCGTTAGCGGAGATATCTACGGTTTGAATGTATTTTGGCGAATGTCCAACAGAAATCTCGTGATCAAACTAAAAGAACTTCTAATTGATACTTCGATCACAGTGTACTCGACTGTTTTATATAATTAGTTATATTTCTGCTACAATATTTGCAATGAAAGAAGATGTTATATCGTGATATTTTATGTTTTTCAATTAGCTTCTAAAGAACAAACTCCGTAGAAACATTTTCTTTGCTTAGATGAAACTCGGAACAGGTGTCTTCGCTCTATACGTGTTAACAGTAACGTAGAGAATAATTTTGCTCAAAGAATACAGTTATTTATTATCTTTTCAATTTCTTTCTACAACGAATTTAACATATATTTTGTGTATTTTAATCATAACTCGGATTGATATTTATGATTGAATTTTGTACTACGCCGCTTCGTGAAACGCGAAGCACCTTCGCGAGTATAACGTCTGCTCCGTTTTTGAGGAGAACAGAAATAGAGTAGCTATCTTCCTCTCTTTCTGCCTTCTTACTTATCTTTCTTTCTCTGTTTAATCTTCGTATTTTCTGCGTACCTCTATGTACACGTACGTTTGTATGAAAGTTTTAGAGGGGTTGACGGCATCGCGACGGTATGCGTCGTGTGAGTTTCGTGACGCATCTAGCGTCTCCTATTCTTAAATCTGCACGATGTACCACCTTAATCACGAAGCAACGACCAGCAGATTTTCTTGGCTTGCGGTCAGCAACTTTGATTGACGAGATCGACGTAAGCGGCGCGGAAATTTTCTTGTACCGATTCGTATGCTCGCGTTTGCGTTTCCGGGGCACTAACATTTCCATTAATGGTACTTTTACGTTACACGTTGAGCTTTCAGCGAATTGCCTTCACGTGACTAAAACCTTGTGGAATCGAATCGACGAATGAAAAATAATAATCTTAGCTTTCCTCGCAAATGTATCTCTCGACGAAAAGAACGCAACGATCGCAGCGAATTTATTTTTAAAACACAGCTACAGCGTAGAAGATCAAAAAAGAAAAAAAAAATTCCTGGCACGGGTCAAGCGAGGAATATTCAAAGAGACAATTACGAAAGAGAACGTACCTCTTCCGGATCCATCGAACTCCTCCTCGACTCCGTTATATCGTCGGTGAGTGATCAGAAATGCTCTCGGCATTTTCTTCCTTATCGTATTCGTCGTCTTCTCTCTATTCGCCTCTTAGAATCACAGAAACCATACCTTAGATCTGTCTGATCTAACTTCACTGTCACACACGAACACTTGAAGGTTACTTTGAAATTGAAGAATGTCGCGAACGAACGTCGAACCCCCGACTAAGACGGTGTCCCGCGGATTTAAAAGGTCTCTCGCGTACCCTGGTACCTGTTGCTAAACACAGGGGTGCGTCCGCCTCGAGGATTTCGGGCGTAATAGTTGCTCCGGCTAAGATTCGGGGCTACATATAGCAGCGCAGCCTCCCTTACCCTCCACCGTCTCTTCGTCATCGTCTTCTTCTTCTTCTTCAGCTGCTGCGCACCGCGTTGCACGCGCTCAGAAGGGTGTCCGACTGGCTCGTGTGTCGACCGCTGCTTCTGTTTGAGTGGTGGCGAAGTGTGCGACCACCGTATGCACATCCGTGTCGCTTTTTCGATTCGAGCGTGGTCGGGGGTAATGTTGTGCATGCTCGTGCGCGAGTACACACACCCATTGCAAGGGATCGAATATAAAAGTTTGTTACTTGGAAATTAATGACGATTCATGGCCATTGTTTCCCATTTTTGTTTTATTTACGTTAAGAGTACTCGTTTGAGTAATCCTCGCCTCGGATTTTTTTGTTTCCTTTAGAGCTTGTTGGATCTATTGAGCAGCTTCAACGCTGTTACCTTAGCGAAACGTTTGACTTATGTAATTCACTATCATAGTCGGGGTTTGGTTACTTCGATTTATGTTCATTTTTATGGCTAGTCAGAGAAGGATAATGTCATTTTATGTGCTATTTTCTGAAAATTCATTAGAAAATTTAATAGGTAATTAAAGCTTTCGATTAGCTGTGATTATTAATTTTTTAAATGGATTCCAGGGTATAGGACACGTTTGGTGCTTTCGAACTGGAGGATTACTTCGTGCCCCTTTCAACCGAATTGTTGCGTGTTTGTAAGAAAAGTAACAAAGATTTATTTTTTTTTTTTTTTTGACGTGGGTCGAAACACGTGGAGGAAGGTAGGCTGGAGGTCTACGTATACGTTTATCTGTAGGAAATGTCGGTACGACCTGTAATTCTGGTGCGGTCATTGAACACTCTGTTCTAATGTAATATTGATGAACCAGTAAGAATCGAGGGAACACGTTTATATTGATGCACTTATCCTACGTTAAGGAACTTGATGAGTTATGAAACAGCTTCTGGATGGATACGAACAGGTGTAAACATATGAAGTGTATCAGAACATCTAGAATGCATTTTATTCGATATGAACCTATACGCTAAAAGGGGTCATCGTGAAAAAGATTTAAATCGAATTTCAATTAACATCGCTAGTTTTACTTATAAATTTTCTTAAGTCATTCTCAAATCGTCAAAGAAAATGGCAAATTGTGATACAGGTTTGAAGATCCTTAGTCAATTGAAATAGCGAAGACGAAGGAAACGAGTGAAAGAAAGTCGATTATTAAAACGATATTTACTAGTTGGCAAATGAATGGATAAGCATTCTATTTTTGTGAGAAGCCACCGTTGGTAGACAGCTTTTGTGGGATCCATGGCACGCGTCCGATGTTCATTAACTGCCACTGAACCGAGAAAGGAAGAAAGAGAAGGGAAAGAAACGTGTCATTTAGTATGCGGCATCTTTTGACTGTCATGAAGGAGAAACAGAAAAAGCGCAAAGATGGCAGACACGATTCATCGAGACACAATCTTTTTGCTTACTCGAGACGAGTGAAATTTCCTTGAATTCGATGAAAGAAATATTTTAAAAAGCATATCGATGGAAACTACAGAAACAGTATTATAAATAACATAAACTTTGCCCCCAAATGACAAAAAAAACATGGCTGCAATTCGTAAATTTCTCTTACATGAATATTTCTACACGTATACCGTGGAATTTTTTAAAAATAAACGTCATGTTTCCATGGAAGGCGAGTATCATATATTTATTGCCCTTTGTAATATTTTATTAATATCAAGTCGTTATTAATAATATGACACGTTTATTTTAATCACAGCTTATCGATTATGTATTCTCTACGATCGTTTAATAATATCACAGACAAAGATTTTTCTGAGAGAAGCTTTATTAATTACCTCGTCTTTTATCGACGTAATCGATATCGTATCGAACAATGAACCATGACAAAGGATTGTTAGATTTTTAATGTAACATCTGAGGCGCTAAAAAGGAAAGGTAAATCAAAAGTGAGGATTTCTGGGCAAGTGCAGCGTGAACGCGTCGTTGGTGCAAACAGAGACTATGCAGGGAGAGACTATGCAAGCAACGGGCTTTTTGGTCGGCGATTGAATGAATGCCACGCGAGTTAGTCAGCGTCGCGGTGCTAAATTCGGCGGACGCCTGGCGTCGCTCCAGAAGAACCACCCAGCGCACCAACCTGCTTCTATCCTGTAGCCACCAATGAAACTGCGAGAGCCGACGCCGTTTTCTTATTTGCTTGCCACCTTCTTTCGTCCCGCGTCGATGTTTCATGATGCTTCTCTTCTGTTCGTCGCGAAAATACGATGCTGAGCGTAAGCTGCGTTTATCGACGCTCGTAAATCTACAGGCAACAGGATAATGGTTTACATTTAAGTATTATAGGTTAATGTCTTATTCGGGGAAAGATTAATAGACATTAAGAAACAAGGTACATTCAATAACCGTATATTTAATAATGTTCTCATACTCTTGCTATAGCTTCTAATTTGCGTAGTCCGTGTTGATTTTTCCCGCTCAAATAAATCTTAAAATCGACTGATGTATTGATTGTTTTCTGAACGATTCGAAGAACAGGTGTCTTGGGAACCCTATTGCAATCGTGGTACTATCGACGTCGGACCTAAAAATAAAGTCACGAGTGTCGAGCATCTCAACTGACGCAACTACGAAACTCGCCAAGCTTTTCTCGGCGATGGATTGTCAGTATGTGAGCTTCTACGTGTCATCAGATACGCGTAAGGTGTAACTTACCTCGTGGTTTCTACGTTAATAAACCAGTGGACGGGGCGCATCCTACAGGTGCCTGAACGCGTTTCCGATGGAACGTGTCGCGTAAAACGCGTATTTTCGGCGCACTTGGAGAAGCTCCAGGTGCGGAGGAGGAAGTACGTGTAAACCGTGATGAGGAAAAGAGAGAAGCTGGGTAAATGTGGCAGTAAAACCACGTGTGTTGCCATTTTTCATAGAAAACAGATGGAAATTTCAACTACACATTTAAATTTGTCTAAACTGTATACTATACACGAACGTATCGTGTATCATATAACATCGTAATAAATGTAATGCTTTTACGGTTTTCTCGATTTAAACAACTATTAGTAAGGAACTGAAATTGAAAAAATATTTGTTTTCTAGGAGATACGAATGAACAGTATCCGTAATGGTTATCTAGACTCGTGCCAACGGGAGGAAAAAAGTTCCTTGGAAATCGAGGAAGGGGACGTTTTTTGCTCGATAAGGAAAACAGGGTCATTAAGTGCAATCCCACTTCGTGCGATCGTTCAAGAAAAAATAAATGCTTCAGCGGGTGTGTCGGGTATCATCTCGAAAAGTATCCGGAAACGCCTGGTTCTTCTTATAAATCAGCGTCGGTACACTCCCTCTTTCCACGACCATGTCATTTAGCGAGAAGTTTTCTGCTGGGAAAACAGGGAAAAGCACGCGATCGCTATTTAAAAGACTCGTAGGTGGGTGGCTTTTTAGCCGAGGTATATACCGACGTAGGGAGAGGGCTTCGACTTCGCTCTTCGGCCTCGGTATGGGGTTGCCGTGCTATTTTCAGGCCGGTGGCTCGATGCAGCTGTCGTGTTCTTCGGGTAAACCACCTCTCTTCTATTCCACGGTCACTCGCGGGACAAGGTAGAACATACAGATTGGAATTCTAAATTCACGATTCGTGAATTCGTGAAGGATGACGCATCTTCACTAACTCTGACCGGAATTAGACGATCGCGATAAAAGAAACGTAGGACTATCGGAAGTTTTCAGTTTTATCCTTTTTTTTTCTAAATCATTCCCTTTTTACCTACTCTTCTTTCGTCCAACTATTTTCCCCAGCTAATTCCTTTCTTCGATTTTTCCGAAATTTTTTATTCTTTGCGATCGAATTTTCTCTACCTAGCCTTTACGTTTTTACTAATTTTATTTTATTTCGTTTTTTCAGCAATTAAAATAACGAGTGAACAAAATGAAGATTAAATACATCAACAGGAAAGATTCTTTATTCACCGACACGGAAGCTCCTGTTAGAAGCATATTTTTGCACGAAACAGTGAAAGATGATGGGAAGTAGAAAGGTAGAAATGAGGACCATTTAATTGATTGCCTCCAGCAAAGGCACAGAGAGAAGTGCGTGCTGGAGAATGGAAGACGCGAATGAAGAAGATGACAAGATTCGAAGATCTTGGCAATGAGCCAGACGAGATTTTCAGCCGTCTACGTGTACTTCCAACTTTCATCTGTCTCCTCTTCTAGTTACTGTATACGTCCTCTAGGACCTAGGGTGCAATGACACCGGGTTTTAGATGACAATTTTCTATTTACAGTGCATGAGTCACTGTATACAAATGTCTATACAAATTATTGCTAATTGCTTTTATATTATTCCTTAAGATTCCAGGTCTATAATATAACGAAGGGTCTATATTATTAATTCATTATATTTGCGTTAAACTCTTTAATGGAATGTAAATCCGCGATTCATTATAATATAGTAAAACATAGACAAGGAAGGAGAACGAAAGAGTATTAGAAGGTAAAAAAATGTCGACCGGAACGACCCTTAATTTAGTTTCGGGTGCAAGAGGTTAACACAGGGTGGGGATGTCCGTGGAAGTGCTTCTACGAGGGGAGAACACCGTCGTACGAAGCACGTTGGTTCATGTTTGGAGGAATGTCTTTGGATATAAAGGGAGACAGTTCCTTCCGGAGACAGCGAACAGCCGCCTGTTTCACCCCTCTGGCCCCTCCGATTTGTTTCCTTTCTTTACATCGTTTTTCTTGCGATTCATCGTCACATTCCTTGCCACTTGCTTTCTATTAAGCTCAACGAGGAGATATATTTCTTTGAAAATTTCTTTTTTAAAGTCATGTTGCAAATATTATAAAAATGCACTATGTATGTACAAAACAGTGCATATTTTTATCATGTACATAACTTTATTCTTATTCTATACCGGAAATTATATAGAATTCTAATAATTTAATTTCACAAGAAAGCACGGGATAATATAACATAGAAAGAGGACGGAAGTGTAGTAATTCGGATATTAATTGCATGTCGATCAGATTGTAGTACTACTGGCTTCGCAGGTGGCAAGCAGGCATGCAAATCTAAAAAGGGTCACGCACACGAGCACGTGCTCTCATTTTGCAAAAATCTTTTCAAAGGCGGAGGCGATCAGCTGGCTATATTCCCTCTTCCTTTTCCCCTCTTATCTCCTCCAGCAACGTGAAAAAAGAATTAAAAAGGATAAAAATGAGCATACACCCCCTTCGTCCGCACCCGCATCCTGTGCCAGTACAGTGCTGCTTTCGTAAAAACCAGCCCGTCGGTTTCCATTCAAAATGCGCGAGTCACGAGGGCTCATTCACAAATTTCACGACGAAATTCTACACTCGGCCGGACCGTCTGCGATCTTGATCGAGACAAGAGAGACGAATTGCGTAAGAGTAAGAGCGACCGGGATATCCTTTTTCTTGAAACCTCTTGTTGCTGGATTTACATTCACGTGATTTATTTTTTGCAGCAAAAATCAATGACGGTTCATAATGACGTACACGCTGTATTTGAATTCGTCGTAACCGGTACATGAGCAGGAATTTATCGAGCAGTCAGCTGATTTTACGTATATGAGATCCTTAAACGGCCATAAAGATAAGGGTCTTCGAAGTTCTAATAAAGGAAGTAATCAAGGTACGATTTAAACGAATACGGACGATATTCTTCATTGATAATCCTTAATTGACGCTAACAAATGCATGGACGTTAGTACAAAATGATGTCCGTAGAAGATCCTGTGCATTGACGTGTGTGTGACAGAAATATGCTTAATGACCATGAAGATTATTGCCCGTTTGAAATCTGGAGAATGTTGATGACGTCTGTCTCCCACATGAAGCATCGGAAGCGCCAGGATGCAGAAGGATGAACCGTTAACGTGGCATGGGTATACCGTTCGATGATTGTTTGACCGAGTGTCTGTTTTCTGATGGATACATCTCCTGTTGCAGTAGGTGGTTCTTCTATTGCCTCGCGTACGGACCACGTGCCACACTGATCCTCCCTGGTTGATTCTCTTTCTTCCATTGCCATCGTCCAGACGGTTTTAAGAAGCAGAAGAAAAAATGAAGGGGACGGAAGAAGAGGAAGTGGACTAGACGATGAGGGGGCTGAGGTCGTAGTCCTGAACAGTTCGCTGACGGGTTCATGGAATTCATCCCCTTACGTGCTTCCAATCGGTATAGCAAAGAAAGAGTTACTTAATAGATTAATAAAGCGACATATTGCATCTGATATACGCATATTAATATCTATGTTTATTGCAGAGAAAATTCAGAGAAGCAAGCATGCGCTGCAGAGAGAGGAAATTAAGAAGAGTAGAACACAATTGCTATCGATATTAATGGTTTATATTATACCAAGATTATCGAAATGTTGGTATCTTTAAAGGTCTAGTGATTACGTTACTCACGCTCTGATATTTGTTCATGGAAAAGCTGTAGGAGGGGTTAAAGGGCAGGAGGGTCGCAGACACCGAGTCACCAGCGGCAACGGGCACGCGACCGACACGCGCCCTTCTTCCGTCTCTTTCCTTCCTATCTTCCCCCTTTTCTACGCTTCTTTTTCCACCGCAGCTTCCCTCTGCACGCACATGCATTCATCTCTTACACGTGATCATCTTGAGTTTACGCGCGCGTATGGGATGAAAGGCTGGTGTTCTGCCACATGATTTAAGATAGCGTAATTTGGAAATTAGTCGAGAAATGTTTATTACTATTACCGTTTGAGATAATTACGGATATTATGGTGTGATTGATACTGACACTAATGGTAACTATTCGACTATCTTTTAACGTGTAAATAAATACTCGCTGCTTTGTAAATCTATTCAATCGTATTCGTTAAGTAAATTTTATAATTTATGAGAAGATTGCTGCATTAAAATGTATATAATGCATATAATATGTATTTATGTAAAATAAGTATAGTCTTAAAGGGCAATTCATACGCCAGGTTGTTTCTGGTACCATAAAAAATGTTTCAAGTGACCTTCCGTGTCTGCACGGTGCACGTATACGTATAGATGCTCATTCAGATTTCCTCTTTCTAGTGGCCCATTGAAGAATCCAGGCGCAAGAAGATGCTCGTGCAACTACTTTATCTCGGTTTTTTAAAGAGTTTCCGTAGCGTCGAACGTATATCGTGGGAAGTATCAGAAACTGTTTTACTACACATGAGTCAGGGGAAAAGGAAATAATTTGCAATTTTCTTGGAAAATTTTCGTCCAGCAACGAAGCATGAAGGATCCAAAAAATTTCATCGTGACACATTGACGTTGTTTGAAAACATTATTGTATGCAATTCTACGAAGAATGATTAAGGTCGGTGAAGACGAAAATGCGATCTGTTGTCGTAACGAGGGAAATCGGACATCTCTAAGTATAGCTCGTATTTGCATGCAGATCAGGGACGGATCGTATTGGGTTGCCAAGCTGCTACAACGTGCAAAGTCCACAAGGTTTGTAGTACAAAATTTTTAGTCTATTTTTTCGTCTTGTAAACGCCTTTATAAACAAGTATAACATGCCATCGTTATGTTTTAATACTGTTATTCGACCTTGGAATATATCTATAATTGTTATTTTTAGAATATTATCATTTTTTACTGTCCTATCGGTATAGAAAATTTTCATTCATGAGGTTTCAGCAATCACTTGTACCTAGTGCTTCAGTGACGTTTATGAACTTGGCAATGCTTGGAAAGAAGCGCCATTGTTACGCAACCGAATTCCTTGTTTCGACGTAGATATACAGAAATTAGGTAAAGAAAGGTAAACAGATATTCCAAAATGTCTCACTAAAAAGTCCCTTTCTTGTTATGAAAAACTATGTTGCACGAGTTTACAATTTCTCATATGAAAATGATTTCTAGGATCGGTTAGCTTCATTGTTCTATGATATCAAAGGACCAAGTAGGACTTGCCAACGAGGAAATCGAAAAATCCGTGCCAAGAGCGTTTAATGACACCTTTATATAAGACACTATACGATATTAGTAAAAGAGATGTCTTTTGTCTTGTTTGTAAACATGCAACAATGTGCAATACAAAGAGAAGATATTGATAATGTGGAAGCATTTATCGTGAAAATTATAAATAATTTGTTACTTTATTATATACAAAGAATAGTGGAAAAACGCATGTGAAGGATGTTAAATAGTGCAAGGAGATAAATCAGATCCACTTAACGATACTTTGAATTAATTTAAATTCGCGAAATTGAAACTTTGACCATTTTGCAAACTTCTGGCCAATCACCAACGATTAACCATTTATAATTACGAGGATACCACATCTTGGCACGTGATACAGCATTTATAGATCGCGCCTCGATTTAATAGTCATCGTTTCAATTATTTTTCTGGCTACCTGTCATCAGAAGCGTGGATCCGTGGATTCAGTTGATGCCAATGATCGAAAAATAGATCTCAGCGCAACCTGTTCGAAATAGCTGATGTGAAACCTGTAACGTAGCTGCGTGTGGTTCGTTAATGTCAGCACATTGAATGTGTAGATCGGTAATGGAATACCAACATTGTGGTCGGCATCCAAACATAAAAGACGACACAAGTCAAATGATCAAATGATCGCTTTGGTAGCAGATAGGGTGACTATTTTGCACAGCTTTCACCAATAGGTTGATCAATTTTTGAACAATAAGATGTTCTACTTCAATTAAAGGTGCAAAATGAAGTTCAGCCTTGCCATGAAGAAATTGACCACCGACAATGTTTGCATCCAGGTGGTGGACTTCTGCGATTCGCGGGGCAAATGGAGATCATGTTCGAAGGTGTCTAAGCTAAAGGGAAGAAAATCTAATTATAGAAGTCGTTGTACAGCGTGCTGAAAGTGGTAGAGGGTGTGAGTACGGGTGCACGAATGAGAATCGGTTGCATTGGGCGGCCATAAAATGCAGGCTGCATCCGCTCGGCGCAGATGTACTTGGAATGGAGCACCAGTACCACGACGAAACCAAAAGGATCTCTCGTTTCGAGGTTCTATGCCCTACCAGATATCGAGGACAATGAACTTGAAGCGATAGATTCCATGGATTCTTGTTTGACGGAAGATTGATTGCGAAAGGAATGCGAGATAGTTCATTACCCCAACCTGAAATCCATTTGACCATTGCCAGACATCTGGAAACGTTTTCTCTCTTCCAACCCTCTAATAATGTTGGAATGTTCGTAGCTTCCTTATTGTTGAATATTTGGAATCAAAAGCTACAAACACTAGTGGAACTGGAGACCAGTAGACCCAACTATCCTTATATACTTGTAATAGTTTCAACGAAAATATTAACTTGGTTGTCTTATCACAACTAGTAGAATTTATTATACTACTCATTCGTGTAAGAGCCATATGGTGTATCAATTCAACCTGCATTACTTCCTGTCTCTATGATAAAGAGGAATCGAACATTCGTAACAAGTAAAATCTTACGAAGCAACAAAGCTGTTCGCCAATATACCATCTAAGACTTCCAGTTTACTCCCTCTCTTATGAATAACCAGTAATAACATGTAACGAGCTTATTGGTTTGGATCCAATAAAAACAGACTCTAATAACAGGAAGTAATGTATCTGTCATTATATACGTAATCGAACGAAAATCTAAACTATTTATATCATAACTTTATGCATGTTAACTAGTCCTTACGGGTGACATGTTTATCGTCAATCTTACTCCTGCAAATGATTGGTCACCCGACTGCACCAGCTGTGACATTTCGCGCATGATCGACTCGTACCGCTTGGACCGGGGTTATTATTGTTTCTTCCACCTTTTTTTCATCCTCTGAAAGTAGCCGCGCGTGTGCCCGTGACGTGGCCATGTAAGGGCTAGGCGGGGGTGCTGGTCGCTAATTTTAGTACGTCTCCAGGGTTCCTGGAGTCGTCGGCGAATCGGCAGCTGGTGATTCAAGACGTAGCCTTGCACGTGGGTACGTGTCTCACCGTTCACGCGCGACGGACATCCCCCTTCTTGTTTCTCCTCTCTTCGAAGGAGGTCGATGTGTCCACTCGGTTCGCTCCAGATGTGTGCCACGCCAGAAGTCATTCGATATATTAGATCCGTTACTGGATACTGAGACAAATGACTTCGAGGTCATCATGGTTGTTGGACTTAAAACTGGACTGAAACAAAACAAATTCTTTAAAGTGCCGTCAAGACGAATCTTTTGAGGTAAACCTTTCAGTTTTGTTCATAGAAGGATGGGCGACAGATTATGTATGTTTTTCATCACGTTCATTTTCCCCAAGGTATTCTCCGATTTTGCTGGAAGTTACTATCTGATCTCTTCAACCCCTGAAATCAAAAGGCAGGGAGGAAAGAGGAATGGAGAAGGAAGAGGAAGGAACGCGTGTGTCTCTTTGAGAAGAAGGTAAAGGGGAAACGGAGGAGAGGTAAACGAGATCTGGCGGCGGCTGGTGCAGCGGATGTTTGAAGCTGCTGAAAGTGAGGCGGTGGTTCCTTTCGCGTTCTTTCTCCGTCTTTCCTGCTGCGTTTCCTTCATCAGTTAGCCACGATCGCGGTAAAACACGGTCCGCGGAGGAAGCACCTCGGCGGATGTGATGTTTAGGACATGGTGCGGACAAAAAACTCTTTCCGTATAAATAGGCAACAGTGATTGGTCCGGGTATTGCCGTTTAACTTTTGACCCACATATTTTCATTGATTGTTTACGAAAGCGTGTACTTCCTTTACTCTTTCATCTCTTTTTCTCTTCCTGATTCCATCCTTTTTCTAGCGACTTTGCATATTCACATGGTAAATGAAATTACGTGTACTAGATAAAAATTAATGTTTCGTTAATAGTACCATTTGTACTTATGCTAAATTATTTGTTGTTCTTTGGGTTATGGCTGACAACGGTATAATGGTCCTAATGAAGCTGTAAATGCGTTGGTAACATGATCGCTGTAAAGAACTGCACTTGTTGGCCTGTTTCCACTTGGGTTTCGGATGCCAAATCTTTTTTGACCTGCAACCTGCTGGGTCAAGAGAAACTATAGAACGGAATCCTCATCACTCTTAGGACGATTCATGTTTCAGTAAGAGCAGAAAACAATGGTACAACTCTTCATATCTTTACCCTTTTCATTAATCGTATATTATTATAGTACTACCTAAAGATTATTATTAGGCGTTAATCAAACGTAATGTAAGTGCGATATGTAGTATAAATATTATAATGTATACATTGATAAACATTACTATTCAATTTAGTAAAAGCGAAGGGGTGCGCGACGCGTGAATCGAGTCAGATATGCTCGACACGTGGTTGTCGATATCCAGGCTCCTGCCGAGAAACACAGACCTCCCAGTGTCATCCGACCACCATGTGCACGAGAGCTCGGTGAAATCCCTCTCAGGTTTTGAAATTGTCTTTTATTTGTCGTGGTATCACCGAAACCGAATGGCGTGTAAAAAAACAGAGACAAACCGTCCGAAAGACCAACGCACGGTTTACACCTCCTCGGTGTGCTCGATGGAAATTTAAATAGATTCTTTTAAAGCGACAAATGCTCGACATATACTCCGTGGGAGAGTCCGTTTGAAATCACTATTTTTTTACAAAATAAATCATATCAGAAAAAGTGGGAAACAACCGATTGAGAACTGATAAGGAATGGTTTAAAGTTGGGGTTTAAAAAAGGTTTTATTTTAATCAGACTAATGACAGTCAAAAGTTGCAAGCGGCGTAAGTCATACTGAAAACAATAACGCCCATAGTTGTATTTTCCTTTGTGGTTGTCACCTGCTCTTACTGCTTAACCAATTGAAGTAAACTTGCGTCTGGTACTCGACCAGAGTGCACCAGGCATGTGCTCGTTTTGGACGAATATGACACCCTTACTTTTACGACACTTTGCATATGCCTCTTAAGCTCGTTGTTGTTTACTCGTGCTAAACGCTTTGCGTATTTAAATGTAAACTCAATTAGAACTGTAGAGCTTAACTGAAATCAATTAAAATTTAATAATAACATTAAATATCGTATAAAAAAATATTAAAAATCAAATGTCTGGAACATCATTGTTTTCATGTCTAAAATATCATAAAGCCATTTAGCTCTGAAAATCATATTCAAGGAATGTGTAAATTGATGTCCTTCAAAAACATATGTTACCTAGGAAAAAATAAATATATAATATTAAATTTATTTCATTACTATTTGCCTGAAAAATAACTCACATCGACGGGATAGTGAGGCGGGTAGATGTGACTTGTTCCAATGTAGAAATATACACTAACTGTGACTTGAGGTTCAGGATATACTGGAGTGGGTACACTCCAAAGAATTTGATATGTATAAATTTCAATAGTATTTTTAAACTGGAGGCCAAGGAAATTTACATGGAACATCCAGTCCTTCAGAGCCTACAGGAATACTCTATAAAAATATTCGTCTAAAAATTGATCATGATAAATTTCTGTAAAACTTTTACTGATAATGCGTTCCATGATTCCATTTCATTCGTCACAATTTCTAATCCATTTTGTGAATTAAAACTGCCACATGTAGGCCATTCATTACCGAAGTAGCCTAATTTTCGTGTAGCCATTCCAGATCCAACATCAAAAGTAAGCTCACCCTGTTAATTTTTGTACTTGTAAATTTCAATAATAGAGAATTAAATGAAAGAATTATTTTGCAAACCAAGTTATCAATTATTTTGAGTGTATTCGAAATTGCCTGATTAACGAATCTTTTAATAAAATCTGTTGTAGTACGATAATATTTATACATATGATCACTGGGTTCAGGTCGAATATTATACATTGAACGTTTATGTAAAAGCATATTTACAGGGTATGAAAATCGTAGATAGAAATATATTTTTTGAGTTTTCAAAAATTTATTTCACCGAACTTACATACGTCATTACGTCCGTGTTAAAAAAAGAAACGACAAAATCGACGATTTCATGCTTCGCTCGTGCACATTTTTCTAATTTCTATAACGATTACTTCGCGATATACATACATACATATATACATATGTATGTATATACGTCTATGATTGTATACGAATAAAACGCACGGTACAATTAAATTATACGAAGACTTGAATTTAGACAAATATTTATCTATAATACGATATTACATTAAAATTTATATTAAGTTAACAGTCATTTTTTGCGTTATTAGGATGATCATGTTGAGACCGCGCTGCCTTTGTTGATGCTTCTAAGCCTGTAACAGCTGCTAAAACTTGAAATAAGCTTTCCATCAGTCTACTAAATATTTCTGACATTTCATCGTCCTTTCGTGTAATCACAAAAATATCTAAAAGCAATTCAATAATTTATTTGTAAATAACTTATCTATCTTATGATGATTCAATATATTACCATTATCTTTTCCTAAGTATTTGCAATACATATTAACAGCAGTTGTTACGTCATCATCATCATGAAAAGGATCTCCTGGCCATTGAGCTCTATGGAGTCTTACAGCTTCAAGAGCAGGACACCAACGTGCATTTGTAAGTAGTTCTATGATAACTTCTTCCACGGCACCAGTGCCGGGTAAAGGACTAGGACTAGGTGTTGGGGTTGGAGTTCCCCTTTCACTCTCTGTACTCTCTTCGAGTGCCCTACTTAGCGCAATTTTCAAATTCGCAATTTCTACAGATAAATCTTGAAGCGGAATTTGTACGTTTCGTGCAGCATTCATGAGAGTACCTAGCATTTTGTTTGATGCTTCGATCAATAATAACAATTGGAGATGAAGTTTATAGAGTGCTCTTCCTAAATCTAAGAGTATCTCTTCAAGACCTGCTTCTGTTGTGTGACCACCACCTAATACTTGGAGTTTTGTCGCTGCTTTGACTGCTTCCAAACACTATAAAAGTTTATATATTAGTAATACTTCTGTACACATAGTTAATAAATATTTACTTACTTCTGTAGCATGATCTTTCTTATCGAGAAATGTTTCAAGATGTTCTTGAATTTCTAACATTCCAAATCGCAAAGATTCGTTTAATCTTTGATTTGCAAAAGTAGCAATCGAGAACCAAATTAAAGGTGGTTCAGCTTTTGAACTAAGTAGTTCCGCGTGACTAGATAAATGATAGCCTAATTGAGTGGAGGCAGGACTGCCATTACACAATAAGGCACTAGCTTCTCGTGTAAGAGTAACTGATTTACTGCTTACGTCCTTGTAATAATAATATAATAGATTATAATTGATACAAATCATAAATTAAATAAATAATATAGTTACCCTTAGAATCCTGCTTAATAATTGGAAAAAGTCTAAGGTATTATACAGAGATTGTGTGATAAGATTTTGTATTTGTTGTCGCCAAATTTCTTCCGCATCATCTCTTACGACTTGTCTAAATGGCATTAACGCTGATAGATTTGGCGATGCATTACAAGGTGTTACATCTCCTAAATCTCCTGCACTAGATCCACTGCACACAAGTAACGAAGAGAAATCAATAAGATAGAACTTTTGTTTGTTTTAATAAGAAACTTACGATGTGTCAGACCTTGTCGAAGAATCGTGACGTGTGCGACTAGGTATTAAAGACAGGGAGGATGGTGGAAACATTCCAGGAATATTATTTGCTTCCTGTCCTGTTCCAGATCCTCCAGGTACTTCATCTAGGGGTGATTCTGAGCCAGCTTCATCATCTGATGACTCCTCGGCAACACCGCGCTATAATTTAAAAATTATACATTCAATTCTTCCTATCTTTTTCTTAGCTAATTTTATTCTTAATTAATTTTATTTTAGTTATTGAAAATAAATCAGCATTTATTTACCCGGCTAGTATGTTTACTAGATGATTGGGTCTTTTCACTTAAACTTTCTTCAAATTGTCTTAAACTTGGTTCTCTTTCCTCTCCTTCACTGAGAGGACGGCGTCTTACTCCCCAATTGAAATTATCGGTACTTTCACCCTGTAAAATATAAATGAAATTTCTGTATTTCTAGAAATATATTGAATTATATAAACTGTAAATAAACATATTCAATTGAAATACATACCTCCACGCTTTCACTTTCATATTCAAGGAAATCAAAGTCTTTAAATACACCAAATTGTTCATCATCTCTTCTAGAACCTCCACTTAAATCGTTATTTGCTCCAGAAACTTCTTCCGTCGAGGAAGCCATGGACGATTGCCTTTCCATTAAATCTGAACTTTGACTGAATATCACCTGTATTACAGATATTTATCTTTAGTTAATGAAGAGACACATAGAAAAATAGAAACAGGATCTTTATATGACACATCTTAATTTTTGTCTTTACTATGTGATAATGCTGTGAACTTTAGCGATTATTGTGCATTTACGTGTTCAGTACCAAACTCTTTTATATATATGTTTCTTATCAACTGATATAGCAACAATATAAAGATTGCACTGATGCACGCGTACATTGTATTCTGATACGCCACTTTTCATACAATTAACATGCTACACAAAAATCTACTGTACATTAATAATCGTACAAAAATTAGAATAACTTTCTTCCGTTTTCAAAATTTTGTGCAAGTTAGGTCATTTTGCACGAAGCATATGGAAGCGTGATTATAGTTGTATTGATAGGACATCACATATGAGTATAAACAGATGTTTTTTACTCTCGTGATAATGAGTGCAGACTGCATTTAAAAAAAAACCTGTTACCTTGCTATATAATGTCATTGAACTAATGTGTTCATCCTAAAAAGGGGTACACAACCAGAGTCAGTTAAAAGATATGGCTTTTGTTAGAAAGCAATTTGGAATGAAACGTATAACACACTCAAGTTTAAACAAAAAGATTATCATTTCAAATATAAACTTACAGATGGACTCTTTGGTAATCCAACACGTTGGCCGCAAGTTGTTAGGAGATTTACCAAGCATTCTCTAACGCGACCCTGAAATATAACTTTTGTTAAATATCATATTCCTATATTTTATGTTATTTAATATTTTCTGTCTAACCTGTGACATCCATGGTCTTTTCCAACCGGAAACTGCATTACTGTCAGCTGGAGAAAGAGATAATGAACACCGAGGAGAACTCAGAGATTTTTCTTCAACCCCCTGGCGTATTAACCATCGTCTACCAATTACCGGTGTTTGAGACAAATCGAACGTGAAATCCATTGTCCTTCCTATTTATAAATAGAACATAATAACTAAATTTTATGGTACAGAATTTAAGACAAAAAGTAGAAAGAATTAATAAATTACTAAATAGTACACTTTAGTAAGTACTTTTTACCTTTTCTAAAATAATAAAAATAAAAAAATATTACAAAAAATTGAGATTCGTTTCAAGTAAACTATGTAATCATATCAGAATCTAAATATAAAATTTAATTTTGTTTAAAAAAATAATAACTATATTTCGTGAATAGTTTACAATTTATTGTTATTATTTTTATCGCAACCTGAGTATCATCAGATAAGCAATCCATGCAATGAACGTGTTCCGCATTGTAAGAGGAAAAACAAAACTTAATCATTTTTCACGTTCGTATCCATGCAAAATATATGTTAAGGAATAGGAATTTACCAGGTAATTCCTTTTTGGTAAATATCTCAGTATCGGTGAAGCTCGGATGTGGAGATGCTATCGAGGATTCCCAACTCGATCCGTGAACTGACGTAGGTGGTGCTACTAAAGTTGATGATCTTGTGACTACCAGTTTTAATATTTTAAGTGCTTCTTTCCAATGAGGACCCTAACATTGCATTATTACGTATCAAGTGCTTGCAAGAAAACTATATAAACGTATTATAACTTGTTTTATTACCGTCTGAAACAAATCATACCTCAACATATTTTGAAATCACTCTGAGAAGTTCAGTGTTGATTGGTTGCGCAGCTTGCGAAGCTAGATCGACATAATGTAACATGCAATGTATAATACTAAGCACAGGCAACGCGACACTTCCTGGACCTTTTTCCAGAACTTCTACCAAAAAGGCAAGCATGTTGAAACTGAGATGAGCATATGTGTCATATAGGTATTTGACGACGCATTTTGTCCATTGGAAACTTTCTTTACTAAAAGTACGTCGGCTATATAATGTCATGACAGTACCTAAATTTTCCAATTTCTTCCCTTTTTCGGCACTGACCTGTAAATGGAAATAATTGCATCCTTCTTGTTCATAAAAAAACATGTGAAATTATTTTTAGGTATAATAATAGTTACTTGTGCAATGTTTTCTGCACTTCTGATACACAATTCATTAGCGTCTTCATAATTTAAAAGCATATAGGGGAGTAACGATACGACGTTCATTGGAAACGCCAAACTTTGAGTAGGATCAACAACTGGCAAATCCAGTAATGGAGTGAATTGCGATAGTAATGTTACGACAGGTTCATATGTATTTGGGCTAGTACATCCTTTCAGTAGTAGTGCATGTACACCAGGGAATGAGTTCCATTTTAATTGTTGTTGTAATTTTTCAACTTTATCTCTAGCATCAGGTCGATCTAATGGCAATCTATGAAGTACACGACTAAGCAATCGCAATGCCAAAAGAAATTCATGTTCATAGTCTGATTCGAGCAGAGACACCGATAACCAAAACAATTGTGCCAATATAGTCATTTTATCATCTTGCGTTGCCGAATCACCTAATAACTTTAAAGACTGGGCTGATCTCGATCGTGAAAGATTAGAATTGGGATACTTATTACATCTGTTATCTAATTCTATAAAAAAAGTTAACAGTATATTACATATTACAATTTATATATAGTTATTAGAGTGTACAAATGTTGCAAACCTTTTATTTCACTTGCTGCTGAATTACCACCACTTGACTTTTTCATACAATAACTGACTGAGTAACTGGTACTTCTTGTATGGCCACCTTGATTTAAATGGGAGAATATGTGTGGACCAGCTGGATATCCATTACCTCCCCCTGGACTTCGTTTACCACCAATCAAGCCACCTGAGGCTGGGTCTTTGTTATTCAGATTTGGAGTAGATTTAAATATTTCTTTCATAAAATCTAAAGGTCGAAAATCGGATTCTAGAGAGTCAACAGCTGCTTCAAGTGTTAGTAACAATTCTGTCACATAGCCCTATAAATGAATTAAAATAATAGAATTGTGGCTATTGTAAAAATATATATAAATATTTAAAAAAATACATTGTATACCTGCATATCCTCTCCTTGTTCGGCGACCGTTTCTACTAATCTAGATAAAATATCAGATAACATACGAGATGTAATAGGAACTCGTAATGCTCTGAATACTTGAAGAGATCTTCCTGCATAGTGTCTAGATGAGCAGGACAGGCCTAATTGTAACGCAGTTTGCGCCCATCGTTGACTAACCAGTGCGTGGGGTAGGGAGTCTCTAAAGACTCGTAATACATGTCGCAATAATACTGTTAATTGTTCAGCACTGCGGACCCACCATACCTTGGCAGTCATATCTTCATAGTTCCACAAAGGTTGATTTATTCTATTAAAAAGAAGTAGAAGAAAGAGGAACATAGTTGTAAATTTTGTACAAATATTTATACAAATATATTTTTATATAAACATACCTAGATGCCAGAAAATTGATCAAAGATTTGATTACATCCTGGATAGGCATGTTTGGACCTGGCTGTGGACCAACCCAATTATTTGCATCTTCGGGTGTAACAATTACAGGTGGTACGGCGTTCGTTGAACCTGATGTTGGGGGCCAATTATTGCATACTGATGACTCTATAGCATTAATATTTTTTATTACATTTTTAATGTCATTAATAGTATATAAAATTATAAAAGTGTTAATTCCTTACCATATGTATGAGAATTTGAATAATCTTTACAGTTGTCCATGACTGATTGATTCGCGTGATTCATTGACAGCGGTGGAGTAGATGTAGAATTCGGAATAGGTGAATGAATAGGTGTTCCATTATTAGAAGGTGGAAATGGTGGTGGAGGAGGTGGAGGGGGCGGTGGCGGGGGTGCTGAATTGCACATTGAGGATTCTGGAGGCGGTGGTGGTGGAGGTGGTGGTGGAGGAGGTGGCGGTGGAGGAGGAGGAGAAGAAGAAGGCGGCGGTGGTGAAGATGATGGAGGAGGTGTAGTAGGTGGTGGTGCTGTAGGTGGACCATACAGATAGCTATCAAATTCTGGATCAACCTCAGTAAAGTTGTGTTCGAGTACTGGCAAAGCTGGAGTGGAGAGACCTAAGCCCAACTGTTCAGTTTTTGATGCTAATAGTACCCGGGCTACGCCAAGATGATCTCGATGATCTCCGAGGACGACCAACAGATTTAGCAAAAGACAACGACAATGATCCCTTACAAGAGGTCTTGAATGATCCAAACCAAGGAAAACTATATGTAACATTAAAGGAACATGAATAGCCCAGTCTAATTGTATGCCATCAACGACAACGTCAGTAAGCAGCATCACGGCAATATTACATCTAAAATTTATAATTATAAATAAATTAATACATAGATATTCTGAATTATCTCTACATACTATTCGTAATAACATTCCGCACCTATGGAATCCACTTATTGGTTGTGAACTGTCCGGTAGATACTCCGTCAAAGGGGCAAAGTAACCACCGTATTCAGGCATCGGTAAGGGATGTGGCTGAGGAATATCGAACTTTTCTCCACCGCATGAAATTTTTCCATTTACTCCTGCAGGTCCGTTCCGTGTGCCGTAACAAGATTCGTCTGTAGTCAACTGAAATTAGACGTGAAATATGGATGAAAAGAAAGCCCAGAAGTAGAATATAATATAAAGTCAATAACAAAGTTAGTATACCTCGGCTTCTGTCGTAGGAGTGGACAAATCGTCCGGAAGAACTGGCGGACCGCTCGCAGTCCTTGTTTTTTCCGTCCTTGGGGTTTGAAATCCAGCGAGTGCTCGTAATGCGGTATCAGATTTAGAACTATAGAATATTCATGAATTTAAATAAATAAATAAATTTAAATCACTTAAAAAAGTGATAAAAACATTATACAAAATTATTTCGTATAAATCTCACCCGGTTTTAACTGGATCTTCGCCAGAGTGCCTTTTGGTATGAATAGTACCTTTTTCAACCCCTAAGTCGCGTGGGGGATTCCCAGGATCAGCAACTGGTGCATCACTATGAGAAGAAGCTTTTCTCATACTAGTTAATCTATAGAAAGGTGGAGTTTCAGTTCTTTCAATTAAACAATTTAATGTCTCTACAGTTTGTAATTCAGTCATCATTTCGTCTACCAAACGATCTGGTCGGGCTCTGGCTAAATACAAGACAACACGTTTTGCCTACAATTCAAAATGAATGGTTCAATTATTGTGATAACAGTAATGATTTTTCTGAATCAAACAATAACGTACATATGGAAGGAGTTCTTGTGGAGCCATTCCTGAGACAATAATTAGATAACGAATGATTACTTTTAAATTATTAGGCCAACAGCTACACAAAGTTGCCCAAAGTTCTTCCGTCTCTTTAGGATGCTCATCGGAAAACTATAAAAAATTTCTGTTATAATCTGATAATCATGTTTTATTTTCTCTACTATACCTTGGCAGTTATATAAAATAAATTGTTCAACACCATTTCTGTTGCTTCGGCACTACCCCAGCCCTCTCTCCGTGCTCCGCCGCGTGACATATCAGTTGCATAGTACTAGTTAAACATGATTTTAAATTATAAGTTCAACGATACCTTTCATAATAAAATTTCTATTAATTAACTAATTTTGTATATATTTAATTGTAAAATTATTTTTATGATCTTTTTTTAAATAGAAAGCGTATTCTCAAGTAAAACAAAATAAAATGAATCAAAAGGGGGCGTAGCTCAGATGGTAGAGCGCTCGCTTAGCATGCGAGAGGTACCAGGATCGATGCCTGGCGCCTCCAAAGGGTGGTTTTCATTTTTTGTCTTTTTACCAAAAGTAAATCACATTGTAAGTACAAAATTCAGCAGAAAGTATACTAAATCGAAGGGGGCGTAGCTCAGACGGTAGAGCGCTCGCTTAGCATGCGAGAGGGGTACCAGGATCGATGCCTGGCGCCTCCAAAGGGTGGTTTTCATTTTTTGTCTTTTTGCCAAAAGTAAATCACATTGTAAGTACAAAATTCAGCAGAAAATATACTAAATCGAAGGGGGCGTAGCTCAAACGGTAGAGCGCTCGCTTAGCATGCGAGAGGTACCAGGATCGATGCCTGGCGCCTCCAAAGGGTGGTTTTCATTTTTTGTCTTTTTACCAAAAGTAAATTATATTGCCAGTACAAAATCCAGCAGAAAGTAAATTAAATCGAAGGGGGCGTAGCTCAAATGGTAGAGCGCTCGCTTAGCATGCGAGAGGTACCGGGATCGATGCCCGGCGCCTCCAGGTGTTCGTTTTTGATCCTTTTATCAAAAGTAGATCACAATATTACAGAGTGATACAGAAAGTATCCTAAATCAAAGGGGGCGTAGCTCAAATGATAGAGCGCTCGCTTAGCATGCGAGAGGTACTACCGGGATCGATGCCCGGTGCCTCCAAATTGGGGGGTTTCCTCGTGTATTTTTTTTACCCTTTTATTAAGGAAAATTATGTTGATGTTACAAACTGACATAGAAAGTTATTGAAACCGAAAGGGGGCGTAGCTCAGATGGTAGAGCGCTCGCTTAGCATGCGAGAGGTACCGGGATCGATACCCGGCGCCTCCAAATTGTTAATTTTTTTTTTATTATAAAATATTTATAATCTTGTATATCTACAAAAAATATATTCTTCAAGAAACGTAAGATCCTGAATCATCGTATATTCTTATTGTTAAAGGGTAATAATAGTTATCTTTATAATTACTTCAAATTTTTTAAATAAAATAAACTTAAAAAAAGAAAGAATATAATTTTGTTGTTCTAAAAGACGAGAAAAAGGTTATGGAGAAAAAAAAATCTAATAAAAGGTATTGATGCCAAATACAGTAACATAAACTATGTACAAATTGAATTAAAGTTGTGTATAAATACATATAAATTATTGCTATTCTCCATTAATTGCATCTGAATTATGTATAAAATATAGAAGCTAAACAGAACTAAAATCATCAAAGTGGTATGTAAGTAGTATAGGAGTATTATGGGGCAGCCAGCCGCGTTTCTGGAAAACTAGTGTCTGATATTTGCTACGTTATACTACTGAACTATGATTAAATCTAGGAATCCTTTATTTTCGCTTTAAAAACGATTTATTGAAACAAAGTAATTACAGGGGGCGTAGCTCAGATGGTAGAGCGCTCGCTTAGCATGCGAGAGGTACCGGGATCGATGCCCGGCGCCTCCAAAATTTCCTTTTTTGATACTTTCACTGAAACTGGATCATATTTCTCCTCTACAATGATACTTGAAATAAACTGTATCGAAGGGGGCGTAGCTCAGATGGTAGAGCGCTCGCTTAGCATGCGAGAGGTACCGGGATCGATGCCCGGCGCCTCCAAAATACTTTTTATTTAACAATTGAAAAATGAAGCCACATTTTTTTCTTGTTTTCTTTTACCAACATTGTCCAACTAATATTTAACTTTTTTTCCCCTAATCTGTAATATCCATTATTTATGATTCTAGTACTTCACTTTGGTGGTATACTTTAAATTAAAAAAAAAAAAAAAAAAAAATCGTTTTCAGAAAAATGAAAGAATTACCCAATGGATATTACATATGAAAATTCTTGTTAAACAGTATAATCAAAGAATCTAAATAACTAATATTCAACATGATATTGTTACTGTTATTGTTCATGTTATTGTTACTTTTACATGTAAACATCTGATTAACTTTAATTCAATGGCAAATAAGAATATGATTATTATCTTTTATATTTAATAAATGATTTATAAATTTTACCTGATAATAACTCAGGGGATTGGATGGTGGTGGAACATTTGGGTCCACCAATTCCATATTGTGCAACCAGGGTAACAAATATTGAAGTAATAATTGTCGAACTTCTCTTCTAGCTGTTTGAAATCTGTGTGTAATTTCTGTGAACAGTATATAATTAAAATAGACATTAATCTGATACATTCGTTGAATACTTCCTATAATAAAACATCGACTATCTTAGTATAAATTTGTAGTATGGTATTCAGGTAATTTCATCATATCTATAGTTGTGATGATTATTCATTCTATACATCCTTTCCAATCAAATCTTTCTAAATATTAATTATTGTATTTTCTCACACATTGAAGAATTTTGTTAAAAAGATACCATACATCAAATTTGTAATATAATTAATAATATATATATTTTTATTTTTTATCAACCTCATCAAGTATTTTATTATATTATTTGGTAAGTACGTTACAAAATGGAATGAAGATCAATTGAATATAATAAATAGTGTAGTAGCACATATATCAATTTAATCAAATACCTCTCTTCTCACCCAATTAACATAAGAATGTATAATCTGATAACTGACTGAACTATATAAATTGATAAACTCGTAAATATTGTATTTATAAATTAATAATTACAATATCGAACATTTTTTAAACTGTGTATTCGTTATTAATATTTTTCTTCTGAAACATTATATAAATATTTAGAGTTTTATAGGAGGAACATCCGGATAATGTTTACTTCATCGTAAAAGAAGAACTTACCACTGAACATGGGCATTGTTAGTTCTGGATGGAGTTGAGCGAGTTGACGAGAAAGATACATTTGATTGCGACAATATGTGGTTGATAGAAGCACATCGAGGGTGCCACCCCTAATTGTACCACTTGAGGATATCCCACCGATAGGATTACTTTGTTGTCCTGGTGCAGAAGTAGCTGTAGTCGATGAACCGCCAACGGGATCATCTTGACCTAAAACAAGAATCGTCAGAATTATTACACACCTTCCTCAAATCAGTATAACTAAAATAATTCAAAATATGTAAGTCTTCTGACGCACGTCATACAAACGCACACACGTAATAGATGCATTTGATTAGCGAGTGGCAATTTGAGGTTTAATAGAATTTTCTAATTTCAAACTGCAGCGAATTTCAGCACAAGATTATAAGCTTCATAGACCAGTAACAAAATATGCGTTTCTTTGGCAGGACCCCAGCACAGTTTTTCATAGAACGTTAAACAAACTTGATACTCTTCTGTTCGCAATACGAAATTTTGTGGGTTATTTAAGAAAGCAGGGATTTAATCACGCGAATTGGACGATAAAAAGAATCCACTAGAAAAATTTTGTTGCAACAAAGAAGCAACTGAGAAGATCGCTCTTTTGCGATAATGTTAATATACATAACTATTTATAAAAAGATCACTATTAAGAAATTCCATGGTCGTAGGATACTTCCAAGCAATCATTATCATGTTACCCTCTTGATATTTAAAATTTTAAACATCGTTTTAAAAAACAATTAAAAAGGTAATGAGTCTAATATGTTGCACGTGGAACATATAAATCATCCGAAAATGTATTTGCATCTGTGGGATTTCATAGTTGATGAAAAACGAAAACTGAAAAATATTTTCGAACATCACGCGTCATCGTAAACGCATCCCGCGTTGCCGATCAAAATCGATGACTCCGCTTGTCTCAGAGCATCACGCGAAAATGGTACAGGCGCAAGGCGACCTCGTACAGTTAGACTTAATAGAAAACATACTGCTTAGCGTTCAATTATATTACACCCCTATTCTACTTTGGTTCACTGAGAAATTGCCTTTCGGTAATCGTGTTTTTCAGGACGAAACTATGTCAATACTCCTCGAGCATTTACCTCGATGCATTGGCGATAAGCGATACCAACTTCTTGATATCCGTTTTTGTCGTTTGACTAAACATAGTGGGAATTGACCTGTTCAATCAACAAGATTTCTGACAATTTTTCATATATATAACGACCCTTTACAGTTTTATGAGCGTTTAGCTAGTGGTACGCAAAAAACCACAAGTCTTTAATAGTCACTGTCTTTACAGATAGTATCAATCTATTTATGAATATTGTATTTATTCTCAGGCTCAAGCTTTACATGGTCCATTACAGAAACAACATGTTGGCATGCAATTATACTGATAGAACCGTGGGGAGAATTTCATGAATTAAATGTTGATGAGTAAACCATATTACAATAATTTAAGATGTACCACAGTTAATATCGTTGAAACCGCTTTTTTAAAAATGTTATTGAGAAAAATTTCATATATAAATGTAATATTACTTTGTTATTCGAAGGCTGAAATGAACGAGTAAATCTTGTAAACTTACTGGTCTCTGGTTCTGTAGCTGGAAGAGGACCCACGTTTCCGAAAAATCGTTGATCCAATAATTGAAGTAGTTGCAGAGCTGCATCATGAACAGGGGCACGAGGACAACCCGTACTCATTAAGGTAACGTTGATGATGCTTGTGTAATGATCACAAGGATATTCTCTATAAACATAAAACATAGATTACGTCGTATTTATGTACTAAAGGAATGACCGAATCTTTTTGTACTCTCTTATAATTTGATATCATATTTAAAAATAAACTTTTCGTAATTTGAGGTATTTAAATATTTGAATACGCAAGTATATATTACTAACCTTGCACTAAAAATTGTTGCTAAGGCAAGGAAGCAACCATCAGCTACTTGTGGAGCACCAGTGTAGCATCGGTCGACTACCCAATCGAGAAGGGTTCCAATATCAGGATTACATTCTAACAATAAAACTACCGTTTCTCGAGCAAGAGCATAAATCTGAAAATTTAAACATAGAACATGTTTAATCGTTGGATGATTCTTAAAGAACTCGATTAAATTAAACGTGAATCGAGAATAATTTGAAATTTACTTTATCATCCTTGCTCGCTAGAAGTAAATCTAACCACTGATAAAGTATTGCACCTTCTTCCGAAAGCGACTGAGGATTGAAACAAGGACCGCAACACAATAGACCGCTCATAGCTTGCAGTGCTGAAAGCTGTAATTCTGTGCAAGATTTTTCTTCTTCATGAAGTGAAGATGTACTTGCAAGCGGTCGTCCATAAGGGCCTGACCAACTAGCAAATAGCATAAACAAGTTTCGTCTCAAGTCTCTTTTTAATAATGTATGACATGTCTCCACTAAAATACGAAAGATGAATGATTTAAAATGTTTACTATAAATATTTCTTATTTTCTAAAAAACTTACGAGTAAAGCTCTTGATCATTTTTCTGATGAAATTACAAAAATGCAGTTTAATGTCACGAACTGCAGGGGCTTCTTTATCAGTTTCATTTTCTAGATACAAACGAGCACCATCAATGTACTCGACGAATGTTGGATGAAGCGATTGCGTTTCTCGGTCTAATACTGCAGGGCTATAAAAATATACAAAATTTTATGAAAAGCATAAAATAATTATAAGGGACTGTGTTAAGCGAATCGATTACTAACCAAATACCAAACGTTCCATATTCAGCAATTAATTCCAATACTCTCACTAATTGCAACCGTAATGCATCTCTTCGCCTTCTACGTCTCATATTTTCTTGTTTGCGATCAACTGCCTCACGAATATAAGGAACTAATTCTTCCATTAAATCTCTAAGAATAATAATCATTAATAAAAGTATTCCACAATGAATAAAAGACTATTTACTTACTTTAATGCATCAGCATTTACTTTTCCAATTGCTTGCACAGCAGCATCTCTAACATCCACTACTTCGCATCTCAATAGAGGTACTGTTAGTTTATACAGAGCCGCAGGACTTGCATTTGTACCGGGTGATTTGTTATCACCTCGTTCAGCAGATAAACTATCCGGCGATGAGCTATGGGAAATTCAATTTTTGCATATATTAAATTTTCCCAAAATTAATTTGATATAAACATGTAAATTGTGCGCGACTGATAAATTTAATTTCCGATTAAAGCGATCGGGAACGGTCGTAAGGCTGGACAGCGACAATAAATAAAAATATATGTACAAATTCGTGTTAGCCACAACAGTTTGATCAGAGAGCTAAAAGACTTGCAAATAAAGAAAATAGTCTTATAAAAAGATTGTGCAAATTACCAACGACCGTTTAATCCCGGGTGACTTCGAAGCATGGTCGTTCGCAATGGTTAATTAGGCTCACCTGGTCCGCTTATGCCTGGTGTAGATGCCGGAAATGGACGGAACGGAGAAGCGACCCGGCAGGGTCTGTGCCCCACCGAGATTCTCCAGGCTCTGACTCAACTCCTTACTCATGCACAACACACCAAACTCCACCGTATGCTGACCACTAGAGTATGCAATACAGTGTACCACCAATGCTCCTTGTATCAAACATTATTTACTGCTCAGAAACTACTACTCTAAGATTCAGATGTGCATGTGCGGGACAATGACGAGAAGCATGCGAGGTAAAGAATGTTACAGAAAACTAAAGCGAAGAAATATGCGCTTAAGAATGTGCAAAATTGTATCCCGCTCCCGAATGCAAAGCACATCTTGGTAAAAATTGGTGCTCCTCTATTCATATAAAACACCTTGTTATTAATACTATAATAAATTCCTAGAGGTGATGATGTGCATAGTTAATGTGAAATTAGACAATCTTGCAATGTATGAAACGTTAGAAATATAGATGCCACATGCGTGCGACAATAGAAAATGCATGTTCATAATCACGAATTATAATTCACAGAATGCTATACTGTAACTTTAATTAGAATTGTTTATTACGAATAAACACCGATACACGTAAAATATTTCCGTGATACACAACAGACATAAGCAGACACGACCCCACACCAATTAATACCAAATAATATTAATTCCACCTGATAGTTCAATATTTTAAATATACGCCTAAAGCTCTAATGATTGAACTATGAACTTCATTATTAAATATATGATCTTGAATTTAACATTAATTCGTATAAATAATGTACACGACTAAACATTAGATTGATCTTTTACATTTTAACATAATGATTTCAATGTAATTTTAATATTATAAAATGATATATTATGATACTAATGTTCTTGTAATGATATTTAAATATTAACTTACCTTAAACTGAGATCTGGACTAGCACACCGTACAACTGGGCTTGGCACTGGTGGAACAACTCTGTATCCAAAAGTTAGATAATTCTTCCACACATGCATATACATATCTCTTTCATTCACAGGCTTTCGGACTGCAGTTGAACTTCTTAGAAGAGAAGCTCTATTGTCATTCACAGGTCTAAAAAATTAAGATGAAAATTTTATTTCTTGTATAATTATAATCATTTGAAAATTTTTATATAAACTTACGTAGGATCAATTACTGAAAAGAGCGAGTTTATTCGAGTAAAAACGATAGGCCACGAGTGTGCAACAGCAGTAGGACACAATGTTAGTACTCTATCTTTTTCTAAGAATGCAAACAAACAACTTCCCCATGGATCTGCTCCATTCAGATTTAAAGAAGAAGAACTTTTTGTGCTAGTATCATCATGAAGACCTATAAAACATTTTATCTATTAACTTTATATTCTTGATAAATATATTTTAGGTAATTATATCAAACATATCTTTCATCATAGTCATTATTACCTGCTGTCCATACACAACTACTTCTTTCAGCTATCCATTGCAAATCAACATTAGAAGTAGAAGTTGCTGCTGCTTTTTCAGCAGGTGGCAACATATGATAACATTTTTCTAAAACTGTTGGACAACAAGCGTCTATTACATCGATTACAGGTTGATCATCTTCTAATCCTCCTAGAATTAAATAAATATTTGCTCAATGATTAACATTCTAATACTGATTTATATTCTAATTAAACTTACCTAATGTTTTTAATAAATGTTTGACTTCACGTAATATATGAACAGCAATTCTTCTAGGATAAAGTCGACAATTGCAAAGCATAACCAATGCAAACCCTTCTACTAGATGAAAAACGCTTGAAACAGGTTCTATCTTTTGTCCTGATTCACTCTTTTTAATACTATTATCTACGCGTGTATTTATTCTTGCATTATCTACTGATTGTTCCTTAGATCTTATACTAGGGCTTGTTAGTGCATTTTTCCAACTTGTAAGAAGTTGTAAAAGCATCCTCAAACCATTATCAACAAGTTGTGGAAAAGTATCTTGAACATCCCTAGCAAGAAATTGTGTAAAGCCAAGAACAACATCTTGTCTCCAATCGGGGAAGTCTAATACTAAGGTTTGTAGACTTTGATATGCCAATCCACGAAGTTCTTCATCCATATGAACCGTTAAACGAGATAGTAAATCCACTAATTCGGCACCAGTCATTCCATCGGGTATTAACCGAGGAACTGCTGCAACGCAAGTTCGAAAAAGATCTATTCTAGGTTTTCGTTCTCCAGTAATCATCTCATCTGGTTCCTTATTCATATTTTGAGTACTTGTCATCATAAGAGGTCTACCATAGTGAACATCTAAAGCACGTAATATATCAACAAATACTCGTCGAACATGTGGGAAATATGATGACATTCCTATGCTTCTTGCAGTATCCTCGGTTAACATCTGAATGTTGCAGAATCAAATTTATTACTTAAATTAGTAAAAATTAATAAAGTTATGTATAGAATTACTTACTATACTTACCTTGTTGAGAAATGTCTTTTTAACACGCATAGTATTACCACTTGGTAATACGCCCATTGTACGTGGCATAGGTGGTTCTCCTTCTTTCTGTTGTAAACTATCAGCTACTACTAAAAAAGCTCGAAGTCCAATACTCATACGTTCAGGAGTTAAAATTATTTTTACTGGTCTACCCACAGATAACAAATCAAACACTATTTCTCGCATTGCAAAATCCAATCTCTCCTGTGCAATAAATTGAATAATTTTTACGAAAATATTCAGTGGAGTGTCACGTGGTACTACTGCCTTTGATCCTTTTGGGAACAAAGAATTTACTATACTTTGTAATCTACTTTGAGTAGCTGAATTACTTTCACATTTAATACGTATCATATATACCCAAAGTAAACGATATAACGCCTCTGCAAAATATAACAAATATTCACACTATCTTATCGTAATATAAAATTTGTTTAAATGATAAAGTGATAAATTGTATGAAAATAATCATACCTAAGGCAACACGACACATCTTAGGATCTCGATTCTTTAAGTGTGAGAGACACATTGCTAAAAAGTAGTGCCAATTTTGTAAGAAAAATGTTTTCTGACTGACACATAATAAACAAGTTACAAGAGGAAAAAGTGCTAATCTATGTTTTGATTTTGTACACATATCTAATGTTGTAGAATATAACATTTCTACAAAATTTTTTAGGCAAGGTACATTAACTTCGTTTTTTACAGCCTAAAAAATAAGAAAATTAACATTGTTTATATATACATTTTTTAATTAACACGAGATAAATAAAAATAACATTTATATAAATATAAATGTTATATAGTGTAATGTTATAAACTTACAGCAGCAACAGGAACAAGTATCTCAACAAAAAGTCCAGCTAGAGCATGTTTGACATCTTTATCTTTTACTTCTAAAAAATATTGTGCACATTCTTGCATAAACTGAAATGAAGCTTCAAATTCTTCTATTGGTACCATCTATAAATTTATATGTGTATGTATAAATGCAGACTAAAAATATTTTAAAATAAGTTCTTTTTTAATTACCTTGACTCTAAAAAATTTCATTCCCATTAATAGTGAAATAATACTTTGTGTAGTGTGAGGTCCTGGTTCTTTAGCACGTAATTCTTTCAATTCAACCATGAAACGTTTTCTAACTGACATAAACCGCGACTGTGCAAGAACTCCTATTACTTCTGCATAAAGATCAGCAATGATATGAATATTTGCTGCATTTGGCTCATTCTGAATACTATAGCATAATTGTAACCTTTATAAAACATTTCAATATTTTATAAAATTTTGATCACATTTTTCCTTACCCTTCTCTATATTTGAAATGTTTGAAAGCTATGTTTTCTATATAAGTTACTAAATCTTCATGCCCTGGATGAAATGGTAATTGACGTAAAACTTCAATTAACATTAAGCAAAATATAAATTCTACTGCAAGATCCCTTCGCTCTTGAAGTAAATCTGCTTCACTTCTTTCAACTGTTTCTACACTTCCTGATACTATTGTATACATAATGCTACAATAAATTATTTATTTTAGGACTTTCATAATCAATAATATAGCAATAATAATAATTTAAAACTCAACTTTACCTTTTTCCTTTTTGATCTTCTTTGCCAGGAGTAGGTTTCTTTTGATCACTTCCTTGATCAACTAATTGACGTTCATACCAATTAAAAAGTGCTTGCAAAATAGAAGGCAAACAATGTTCCGCAACTGAACCAAATGCAGATAATAATTGATCAAATTGTGGATCTTCTCCTCTTTGTAAAACTTTTGAAAGTGGCTTTTCCTATAACACATATACTGTCAAAAACATACCTTAGCTAGGTAATTAAGTTATTTACATGTTCTGTCATCACTGCTTCCATCTTTTTTTCTGCTTGAGTGGTAAATTCTGCAAATAAAGTACGCATCACAAACTCTCCAGGTCTTAAATCCATATCTCCTATTTGTTGTGGTTTCACTGTTTCTTTCTGAGCACCCCAAGGTAACACAACAGTTATTGCACTAACTCTACTGGAATTTGATTCTAAAGAAAATTGTTAAACATCAATATTTAACCATATTTTGTTAACTCACATTATATGATTTGTGTATTTACCATTGCCAGAAACTGAAGTGCTGGCAGTATGAATGCTAACAGCATCACTACTTTCTCCTTGTGTTGCTCCATGAACAGTAAGTAAATCTTGATTTGATTCAGGTACACTTTGAGAAGATAATTCTGCTGCTGCTTCATGTAATCCTTCGCCATGTACAGCCCTGGCTTCTGAGGCTTCTAATAAAAATGACAGATTTATTTATTGAGAAATTTATATTTTAATTGAGTTTTTAATTTCTTGAATAAAAGTACAAAAATATATTGATTTAAACATAAATATCATGTATAATTATGTTTAGAAGCTACTACTACAGGAATATTCTTAGTTCTAGAACTAGTAATTCTGTATGATGCTAGAGACTAATAGATGAAGCCCCATTCTGTAACGTAACAGATGCCCACAATGAACGCTAACTTAATTATATTAAGCTTGATAGCTGTATTTTCTGTTCATGAAAATTTGAAAAATTTGATATATATGAACAATCAATAATAAAAATCAATGCATACCAGGCTGTACCTCATTTCCAGGAGTGGGTTGTGATTCACCTCCTAAAATATAATTTAATTTATTACATTATAAGTTTAATACATATAAAGTAAATACGTATAGCCCAAAATATAACTAAAGTACTTATCATACATTAAATTTAAAAGATGTTCATAAACTATAAACACCATATTTACTAACCTTCTGTCATGTTGTTTATATATGCCTTACTTTCAGGCAGCATTAAAACATACTAATGTCATATTGCAGATACATAGCATTTTCATTCTAAAACAGTAAAGAAGCTATGTTATATAAGATACTTCTTTTAATATTTACTTTTTCTAAAAATAAAAAAAACATAAGAGTGAATGAGATATATAAACATACACACAACTAACATATAAATATACACCCATACACATACACATATGTATATCCATACACACATATTATTGTTTACTTCAGTCAATCATATATTAACTTGGCAATAGATATCGCGATGCCAATGTATATAAGCTTTTTAACAATAATGTTTATATAAAGTTAAAATTAAAAAATAGGACAATCATATCTTTATTCTCTTGTATTGTCATAAATGTATTACAATTGCTTCATGTTTTAATTTTTTTGATTTATACAATATAATGTTATAGAATATATGAAAACTAAAAATTATTTTGTTAAAGCGTAATAAGAGAGATAGATTACGGGAAGCCATAACCTGAGACGAAAAGTGACATCACTACAAAAACGATGAAACAATACAAAAATTTTATTACAACGTAACATTATCATTATCGTTAAACAACTATCAGATGATTGAAAATTGTTAATTAAAAGCGAATTATTTACCGCAAAATGCTGTAAAATCCTAATTTAATTTTAAGTCTGACGTTTCATAAATGTCCGGCTTGATTCGTATATATTCTTCACAGATTCATATTCCACACGTTCCTTTATTTAACATACTTTTCAGTATTCCACTAGAGGGTGTTACATCTAATTATCCGTTAAATTTGTAAAAGGCTTATGAAATTTATTAGTGTTTACTTATGTTTTTTAGTATCTTTAAATGCGCCTATAACATAAAATGTGTTGTAATTGTATGATGTAACTACTATTTTTACGGTTAAAATATGGATTTTTGTATATGTTACATTGAGTAGCATGTACAATTTTTTATTGTATGTTATTTTACAAAACACAGATTCTAATGTTCAATTTATTAATATTTCAAGTTTGATCTTGTTTTAGTAACAATAAATACAAGCGTCTTGACTTGTTCTACTGTACCAACTGTAGATACTGTGCCATGTTAAAGAAACCATAGAATAAATTGTTTAAAGCTTTCTACGTATGAAACGACCCTGGTTGTGAAGCACTTTAATTACGTATTAATCATTTGAGATAAAAACAGAAATTTTCCATATTTCTATAATAAATCAAGAATATATTAAATCTTATTGTTCTGTATCATAAATTTTCTTTAACAATATTCAGGTAAATTGTCTATTTGATGTATTTTATTTAGATCAAAACAAAACATTAAAATTTTGTTTTATATAATCACATTGTGCAATTAGAAATATCAAACATATTTATTTTTATATTATTAATAATAGACACCCAATTCAGGAGACAAGAACAATAGACGTTTTGATTATTAATATACAATTATAATTTATATGCTTATATATTTAGATAATTCGTAATTTTTCTAATAAATTATGTGTACGTATTTATCTTGTATATGTTAAAATTCTGTTGATCCACATCAAATGTAAAACTGCTTTGAACTGCTTTCAGGTGCATTGACCATCATGACTTCAGTTATTGCACTAGCGCAGACAGCCGCATACGTCATCAAGGTCATTAGTTAATCCAATCCGCACATTTGAGTTCCACGTAGCAAGTTTGATATGATGTATTTGAGCTAATAATCGTGTGTTATATCTTGAAGTATGCAACTGAACGACACATACATTTGATGGTTTTCCTACTTTAAACAGAAAAGTCATAAATTCTACGAAGTGTTTCGTTCCTACAATTTGAATAAATGTTATACTTTTATAGTCTGATTTATTTATTGATATTATAGATTTAACATAGGTTACGTAACATCGTTTATAACCTAGAAAGTACACTGTAATTACAAGTATATTGATGTATCAGTGAAAAATAAATTTAACTTTTATGTAGAAACTTTATACATAATAGTTAAATTACTGATGATAATCCATAATATTAACCGTATAAGTTATTTTGCTTATATTTGCACGAAGATTATCAAAAGATAATATAGCGAACATTATCACCGTCTATCTGATAAATGTGAAATTTCCCCTAATAATTTAAATGCCTGTGTAAATTGATGAGGAAGAGTTTGTAATTATGATAGTATAAGACAAATATTAGGCAAATAGTTCTGTATAAAAATAGATGATAATATTACTAGAAATTTTTTAGAAGCTTTGTTATAAAAATATTACAATCTCTTACTCAATTCTCTATAATGATGTGATTTATGATTATTAATCATTGATATTGTCCACTTTACTGTTTTGTTAAACTTTTAATTTTTGTCTTAATTAGAAATAGAATTAGCAAAATAAATATTATTTCGTTTAATAAAAATATATAAAAAACAAAATTTATATAAAAGTGTAAGAATATTTGTAAAGCACGGCTGATTACAATATTACAATTACAATTACGTTTGTGCTATTATTCATAAGCTTACACCCAGTTGATGTGATTACTTCTCGTAACGAATACTTGCACGCGCTACGAGATTTACTCGATGTAGACAAAGGACACATTTAGAATTAGTCTATTCTTTACAAGGTCCAGTACGTATGTACGCATCTTCAAGGTGTATAAATACATTTTACTTAAAGTTACTCCATTGAACTCTGGCGTTGTGCTCCGTAACATACTGGCCGTACGCCAGGGTTACGCAAGTCGCGCCCCGTTGACCTCCTTCTTCATGAGAGATTGACCTTGTATCTCGTTCTTGTATCTTAAACAGCGCAAACTCGAAACCACCCCAAAGGCGATCATAATATAACACGTGTATTGTATTATAATTATATTTACCATAATTCATAATTGATGTTGATAATTAGAAATATGGGAAATATTGACAAGTTCTTATCAATGCGGATATAACTTGATCTGTTATTTACACATACGATCAATACCCAGAAGTGCAGATAGTGCATCGATTGTCATGACGGAGTATTATATAGTAATATCTAGTGTAAATGGGATAGAATTATATTAAATCGTAGAAAACTTGGTCTTTATTCTTAACATAATACCTTCTTCTCTTTCTTCTTAAATACAATTTTCCATTTTCCATTTTCAATACGATTTTCAAATATTACATTTAACATTTGTTTTAAATAATATAATTACAAAGCTGTCTAGAGAAAATGATTACACACTATAAAATAGATTACATTAAAATTGGATACAATTAATCAGTTACTTCTATGCAATGGTAAAATAATTGCAAATTTTACCTTACTGATACATGAAGCTTAACAAAGATGGATATATTACGCGGGTGTTTCAAATACAGAAATGATTTTTCTATGACTTTGCTGGCTAAAACTTGTATAATTTTCTACGGATTAAGATCTTACAAAAATGTATACATTTTTCTATTAGATGTTAAACTTTAAATATCAGTTAATTTATATTTTCGAAAATACATTAAAAATATTAATGTTATTCATTTGTGTTAGTGTACTTTAATACCTATATTTGATGTTCATTTAGTTAGAATTCTTTGATACGGAAGTAATTTTTACGTAAGCAGCAGAATATGATTTATTTTACTATTTATATAGAAATAAATTCCCGCCAAGTTGTTTCATATTTTGAATACCTTGACACTAGCGACAATTTCCATACGTTCTTTACCGGAAATGCGTCACAAGCGCGGTTAAACGTCTAATTTCGAAATAGGTGACCGTGAACGCATTTTATTAAGTTGATATACACGTGGTGACCGTGAAAAAGATACAGGAAGGTATAGTGTCGCAAGATACTAAAGAAAGGTCACGAATTCGGGAACAGAGTACGCGTTCGAAGTGCATGAAGTGTCAGGGTCTCAAGGTGCGGCCGTGCCAGAAGATTGAACCTGCGCAGAACTCTGCACGTGACCTGCGCAGCTATTCTTAGCGGAGGTCCGTTCAACGAGAGGAACTCTGCCTCGCTCACTCGTCGTCCGGCGCGCGTCCGAAACGTAGGAGTTGGTTTCCTCTTTCTTTTGTTAATCCGTTTTCACACAACTACCCAATACAATATGTCTGGTCTTGCGGATCCAGTGGCATTCGCCAAGGATTTCGTGGCTGGTGGTTTGTCCGCCGCTATCTCTAAAACGGCGGTTGCCCCTATTGAACGTGTGAAGCTGTTGCTGCAGGTACAGCATATCTCCAAGCAAATCTCAGAGGAAAAACGATACAAGGGTAAGTTCTTTGATAAAATAATTAGATTTACTAACTAGCTTGAAAAAATAAGAAAAATTGGCAATATTAGAATATAAAGCATGCAAAAAGCATGAGCCACAAACTACTGTGCGTAACAGTACAGTAATGATATTCGAAACATGTGACAGTTTGGAGCATTTCAATCGTGTCGGCATCCTAATACTTGCCAAGCGTTTCCGCTAGGTTTGTTCGTGGTGGTTAGAATCGAAATTCCCGTTATGTAATATCAGTTCACACTATACCATAGTAGTACGTCAGTATTATCTGGCTCGAATTTTCTATTTTATGTAACAAAGATGCAATTTCGGGTCTTATATAACTTTTGCAATATCGATTGAACGAAAAGTCGTGCTTTTGTGACAAACGAGTGGGTCGATATTCGATAAAATGACTCGTCTACCAGATGGCAGTGCATGGCATTGCTCTTTGAACGAGGTTTCTAAGTGCCGATCGATGATTGTGCGGTACAATATGGCCGCCTTTATGGTATAAAATAGCTGTATAGCTGAATGGTGTGGAAAACCAGGAGTTTTTAATATTCAGTAATGGACAAATCAGATAATGCTTAAGGATATGTCATTTCTTATATTATATGAACGTTTTAATATGATTATGAAAAATAATGAATTTTTCATTTTAAACATAGAATGATGTTATTAACGAATAATAATTTTAAATCGTAACTGTGGGATGTACATTTAAGAAATAATAAATTATTATTAATTTTCTTCACAATATATTGTCACTAATTTATACATATTCAATTAATATGACTGTACGACCTTGAATATATTTTTTCTTTGCTTAATAGTAAAAAGATATATTCTCAAAGCTTTTTGAAATATTAATATATCTGAATCATTGTAAAAGTAATTTTAATCGCAAATATGAAATATTATAAATAGTTATTAATTTATAACTTTTAAGTGATATGTTACATAACAACCTGAACCGTAGTTCAATATATGGTATGAAATAGTGTTTATAAAATTTTTAAATTAAATGTTTTGATGTAAAGATTAAATAATTTTTATGAAAGATCCACACTTTGAATAAAATGTAAAAGTAATTAATTTTATATATTATTTGTGAAGAATGTAATCCTTGTTTAAAACATCAAAATTATAAATATATTTTTATGTTTCAGGCATGGTAGATTGCTTTGTGCGCATTCCAAAAGAGCAAGGATTCTTCAGTTACTGGCGTGGTAATTTGGCTAATGTGATCAGATATTTTCCAACACAAGCTTTGAATTTTGCCTTCAAAGACAAGTACAAGCAAGTTTTCCTTGGTGGTGTTGACAAAAATACACAGTTTATGCGTTATTTCGTTGGAAATTTGGCCTCTGGTGGTGCTGCTGGTGCTACATCTCTGTGCTTTGTCTATCCCCTTGACTTTGCCAGAACTAGGTATTGATACATTTTATTTTAATATTCATTTATACTTAATTGATTAATTGTTTTAATATAGAATTATATAAAATAATTATATATAACTAACTTACTTACAGGTTGGCTGCTGATGTAGGCAAAGCTGGAGGTGAACGTGAATTCACAGGTCTTGGAAACTGCTTGTCAAAAGTTTTCAAAGCTGATGGTATTGGTGGACTTTACAAAGGCTTTGGAGTATCTGTTCAGGGTATCATCATCTATCGTGCTGCCTACTTTGGTTTCTATGACACTGCCCGCGGTATGCTGCCAGATCCTAAAAAGACACCATTCCTTATTTCATGGGGCATTGCTCAGGTAAATAATTTCTATATTAAATTTTATTAAAATAATTGTACTTTATATATTAACATGTTTGTAATTCTTTGTACAGGTTGTCACAACTGTTGCGGGTATTGTATCGTATCCATTTGACACAGTACGTAGGCGTATGATGATGCAGTCGGGCCGTGCCAAATCCGAAATTTTGTATAAGAGCACTCTTAACTGTTGGGCTACTATCTACAAGACAGAAGGTACTAATGCCTTCTTCAAAGGAGCTTTCTCCAACATTCTTCGTGGTACAGGTGGTGCGCTCGTGTTAGTACTTTATGATGAAATTAAGAATCTCCTTTAAGACATTATAACGATCCTCACCTCATTACCTTCACAACTACAATTGCAAGTACCATCTTTATTACCCACACCATCCGATGTAACAACAGATCGAGTGATTTCCAGACTGAAACAGTACACAAACTGTCGAGAAATTTGAAAACAAGTTAGACTATGATCTTTTGGTAGCATCTTATGAAATGCGTGAAACTCGGCAGAATATATATCTTGATTGTAGAAGAGAATTCGCTTAATTTATTGCCGGATTCAGTATTTTCTTGCAACGGTTCACATGTACTATATTTCCTATTTCATTTTCGTAAAGAAGAACAAAGAAAGATATATTTATATATCTCCAAGGAATTAATAACGTAATGGATATATGGAATGTTTGATACATGTGACCATGTAGGCGATGGTCGGGACATAAAGTAGTAAAAATAATTATTGAAAAAAAGGAAAAACAACAAAAATAAGAGTATACAATTGAGCAAGAGAAGGACGCGCGACGAAATATCATTACGGCGATGGCGGGGCGCGTAGACTTGGGCCGCCCCCCCGCCCTTATTCTCGGCCCATTGTAGATAATTAATAAATGATCATATTAACGGTATCAGTGAAATTCATCGAGTTTCAGTGAACAGTAATTTAATTTCGCACTTCAGACAACTACGTGTAAGATAATGAGAAAGCGTTACTTGTAAGTGTATGCATCCGATATTTGATGTTGGGATGCGTACAGTGAGAACAACAAAATCAATAAAAGTAATAATAAAAATTGTTATGAATATCCTTTCTACCCTATACTTATTTTTTCAATTTTATTTTGCAGTTAGATCTTTGATCCTATGTTTCATAACACGAAAATCATTCAGTACGTAAGATTAATTATTTGAGTCATTATTTGTTTAGCTAAGTATTAGGTAAATACTAGAAATAAATAATATACATTCTTATGTAATAAAATTATATTTTCCTGAAGGAATAGTGACATTTATGTAGTACATTTTTTGTTACATATATCACGTTTCATACAATGCATCATTATTACAATAGTTCATTACTCCAAACAAAAAGCAAAAGTTTTATTCTCAACGTCATTAATCTACTGATACAGCAAATTAATAATTTAAAATAAATATTATTTTCCTTTTTTAATTTTGATTCCCATCCTGCTTAAAATGAACGTTTTGGAATGCTCTCAAAACAGACATATAATAGCATTTATAGTAATAAAATAGTTCATATGAAAATTAAAAATCTATATATTATTTTTACATAACATTCCTAAATTGAACAAATGGAAGGTAATTGAACTTTGTTGTTTACATTTGATATTTATACAATACAAAAAGAGATTGTGTGAAATTTGAGAAGGGAATGATCAGAAATTTTGGGGTATAATATAAAATAGTGGATCTTATATACAATGATTTGAGCGGTAACATTAAAAAACATATCATACAGTTGTTCTATTTGGATCTCCTGCAACAACATCCAACATTCGAGATATACCTGGCAAATTTAAAATAATTCTTAAACCAGGTACCTTCCGTAAAACATTAATTGCAACTGGGAGAAAACCACTGTAAAATTAATTATATAAAAATTTGAATCAGTTGTATAAAAATAGAATATTTAATAATAAAATAAAAGTATGATACATACCTGAATAATAATATAAAACCATATGTTTCTATAATCATGCCTATAATAGGCCAACCTAAAAGTACAACAATAATGCCTCCTAAAAATGAAGCACTAGCTTTTATTTTATGTTTTTGGAAAAAAAAGCTGAGAGTTCTCTTTGGTCCAATAACACATGCTAATCCAGATATAAACAAAATCTATATAGAAACAATGAATTTAAGATGACACTCTAATACAAGTTATTAAAATTAACAGAGATATATGAAAACAACTCTTACGTTTCCAATAGCAAGAAGACCTTTGTCAAAGAGTATTAAAACTCCAAGGAAAAGAAAAGCTATTCCAAATCCAACAAGTCCTACTCCAATTTCTGAAATCAATATTTCATTACTATACAATCATTTGAAACTTAGATACAAATTGAAATACCTTTTATACTTGACAGAATTTTTGTAAATTATAGACATTTTATAAATTATTTATTACTCACTTTGTGTGTCTGTGACTTCGAACATTATTTATAATTTGTGTTTAATGATGAATTTTTAAATTACTTTTGTGCTAATATTTCGATACGATTTGGATGTAAATTGTAACGTTGCACATAACCTAACCTAAATCCACGTCATTAATAATGATGTGACACTTTCCAAGTAAGCACTATTTCTAGACGAAGTGTAAAACCATACATTAAATACCGTATATATGTAATAACCACATTTACATTATATTTATAAAATTTAAATATACTGAATATTTACTAGCAAAATGAACGCCATTAGTACGTACGGAGGCGTGAGCGTTCATACGCATACGAGATTGTCGAAACTTTGTTCTCATATTTTACCGTGTACGATCTTTGTATTATTTAAAAAAACTTTATTATAATTAAATTAATAAATGCATAATTCACGATAAAACGTATTAATAAATGTGTAATATATATATATATATATATATATATATAATATATATACACATACACATATATATTCACACACGCACGTACGTACACACCTTGTAAGCTTATTAACAGACAAATAATTATTTAAGTTTATTTCGGATAAAGGGACTGTACAAAATAAGTGTCGCTTTATTATCCAATACGAATTTCTTATACAAACAACATATAATACATAATTATTTATAATGTTTAATCCGATGAAGGAATGATGATTGCTAATGGCAGGAATAATGATATTATTTTACAAACAGCAAAAAAGTGAATTTGATCATTAACCGTTAATATGGCTAAAACTTAAGTCTATATATGACGTAAAAAACATTATTTACAAATATTTTAAGGTACACACATTACGTTAAGTAATGAATTCAGCACATTAGAGATGATCTGAGCCACTGAAAGTAAATAATGATATTTCATATTTTAAGTCTTATTTCTTGCATTTAAATTAAATAACTAAATAAAATAATAAACGTAATGTACCTCGGTTAAGCTTAACTTTATGGTTCCATTTTGCAAAGGATCTTTACTTTCGAATATTCCTGTAAGGAATAAAATTAAATGTTAGTGCGAATAAACTGTAAAGATTGGAAAGATGAAAGGTTAATACATACCAAATGCATCACTTAAGTGCAATATTGCCGAAACGAAATCGCCAAATCTGAGTGTTCCATCCTTTCTCATGTATCGAAGAATTAAAATTGAAAGTACATCCGTATTTAATTGGAACCCTATTGAGAATACTTCTTGTATGTTAAAAATTTAATGCCAATAAGTGAACATTAAAGTCGATAAACATTAACTTACCCACTTCTAGTAACGCGTCTCGTAATCGTTCCGCTTTAAGTATACCGGTCTTTTCCTTCGTGTGATTCTTGAACGCAGCTTGCCAGTATTTTAAACTACACATGAGATCCTTAAAATCATTAAACTTTAATCGACCGCTTCCGGAACTCTGTTGATATTGATTTAAGGAAAATAAGTAAATTTCAAACGCATGACTAAAAAACATAAAAGTGATTCACTTTAAGGATACATCCATCGTAAGAACTACTTGTCGACATACTTCCATACAGGCACAACTTTTTATATAATCTACAAAAGAGAAACAACAATATTTTATCAATTTTGGATAAATTAATTCGTTTTATCCTTAATTACAATGTTGAATAGAGTAAATTTTTACCGTTCGGTAAACAAGCCTCTAGAAGTTCTTGCAATTCAAAAGCATTTACTGTCCTGTGTTCGTCGGCAAGTTGCAAAAAGACAGCTTCATATTGCGAGAAACCTTTGCCTTCGAGGGGTGGTGCTTTGATAATAGCCGACTTCACTAGTGATGGCGGTGTATCGAGAAGTCTAGTAAAATTGTTATATAAAGTACAATCACAGTTTTGAAACGCTATATCGATACCTGAGTTACATACTTGAGTTTTAGAGGTTTACTACTATAAACTCGCAACGTAAAACTCGTTTCTTGGGTAGGTTCAAAGGTAGTAGGTACTAACAAGTAACCACCCTGATCTAATTGACATCTGTGGCTCACTTGGCGACTGTTCGTATACTGCGAATTTACCAGAGATTTGTTCTTTTTGAAAAACTGTTTGTTTATCGACTCTGTGCTGTTCTTTGGCACGGTGTAAGCTGTAAAGCCTATGACCTGGATATAATAAAAATTTTACAAACGTTATTAATCAATTTTCAACGTATGGAATACATATAATAAAAATGATACGAGATATTTCTTACCTTTATCTCCATGATAGAATGTTGATACAAAGAAACAATTACTTCCTCCATTTCACTTAGAATCAAGTGTAATTGTGGATTAATATGGAAAGTTTCTGTAATACATTATGAATATATTTATAACACGATAGGACATTCATTGTAACTTTAAAAGTCGTCCATATTACCGGGTTACCGGATTTCCGTTGTAAAACGTTCATCACTGGAGTAAACCGCGTACGAACCTTCATTGTTTCGACATCCTCCCGCGGTTACACCCCTCCTCCAGCTACCTTGATAGAGTTTCATTTGCCAGGTATGTTTGCTATGCAACGATGGCTCATCCCTCGACGTTTCAGCATCAAGATGTACGACTTCTAAATGAGTGAACGTCTTCACGAAATCCGAATACGATATCCTGTAATTAGGTACTCGTTCATTAACACGTCCGCAATATTTATCGCACTTGCAGCATAATTAAATGCTTAATAAATATATACCCAAATATACTCGAAGAAATGGCATACAACTTTATCTTATGAATTAAGAGATTATTAAAATTAGCTCACCAGAATTCCCCCTCGGCCATGTTTCTGACCGCTAAACGATCCCTTTCCATCGGTGGTACTTCATCCCATTCAAGGCCACCTCTCGCCCAAGCGCCGACATACTCCCTACCAGGTCCAAGAGGATTTCTTAATTTTACTAACTGAACTGCTTCGCCGTTGAATGTTTCCACCTGCATTTTACGCAACGATCCATCGTGAAATACAAATCGAAATTAACCACAATCATCCAACTTTGATTTATTTTTTCTCATATTTACCCTCTCGATAGCGTACAGCCTGTAGTTGATCCCCATTTGAATACCATTGGCAAGCTTCTCAGTACTTGAACGAATCTTAAAGAAAATAAAAAAGAAATAAATAAATAACTCAGCTTTACATTAACAAAATAAAAACTTTTGCCATTATACACAGATGTGTTTAATACGACGATCTTTTCTATGGTAATGATTGTTGCCATATGTGATCTCGGTTTCCATAGGGTTTCTATGCAATGTCAAAAGATTATTATCGATATCTTAGAAACTACTAAATACTCGAACTTCGACCCTCAAAACATCCAATAAAATTCAAAATTATACGCAAAGAATAAAAAGGAAGAAAAACAATAAGAAAAGTTCCATGTTACTTACTTGCTGTTGATTGTTATTTACAGTGCAAGTGATGAGGGACGTCATATCGAGGAGTTTCGCGAGGACCCGACCACAAGCTGTAGGGTCCTGGCGTATCGCGATGCTCTCTGTGATACCTCCGGTAAGATCAGACAGACCGTCCAAAAGAGTTCCATACTTGAGTGCCTCGTAGGAGCCATGCAGTCTGAAATGAACCATAAGAAGAGATCAGTTTCTCCGATTTCGAGCTAACTTTCTTGGCTATGATCTCGCGCCAAGTCGAAAGGTGACACGGAAAATCCATTCATCTATGCAACCGGATCGCTTGGTACCACCAGTCACGTCGATTAGACGGCAGAGAAAACTCTTACGCGTTTTCCAAGCTGCGAGACAGCGTACAAAAACGCCGGGATCCTGCAAGGGAAAGCGGATGTCTAGAATTTTTCGACCTAAGACCCCTCGGTAGACGATGAAGCTGGCCCAATCGCGATTTCTCGCGGGTCTCCTCATCGATTCCGCGAAGAAAGTTGAGCGGACGGCTCGTTAATCTCGCTCACCACGCTAGCCTGGTAGCTTTTGTTCCATGAAGCGAACCTGCCGGCTTGATTAAGCCGAGAGGCTCGTGTTGCGGGTTTTCGTCTCGGAAATCATCGGTCGAGATAGAAAGGCAAGATCTCGCGCGAGCTGATAAGGGGATAGGCGAGAGGTGGCGATGGTATCTGGCTCGGATGTGCCGTTCCTGCGGGAATTAGCGTTCTCCAGATAACGGGCTTTCTTTCTCTCTCTTTCTATCCCTCGTTGACTGGCACGTCCCAGTAACGCCAACGCCTCTGCGTCCACACACTCGCTCCCGGCTAAATAGCGAGCTTTCGTGCACACGCGAGCGTATGTAACGTAGGTTAATCTCTAAACCGTAACCATTCACACGGGCCGCTCCAACAGTCACATGGGTATTTTCTCAGGGAAGGCGAGTGCAACGCGACCACCAGACGGATCCGTTTTCCAATTGTATGCCTCATATGGGCTTTGGATGAGGCGTGTTTCGTGATTCGCCAGTGGCGGAAGTTGAGATACGCGGAGGAAGCATGGAGACTCGCAAGTGGTCCGTGGTCAGAATGAATATGCTTACGAATGATCGAGGGAAGGGTTAATGGAATAACGATCGAGATGGTCGAGTCTTGGCTCGGTTTCGCCGATCGAATCAGGTTTTGCGGAAATGGACTATTTGACCTCGATGCTTGTCGAATTCTGCTACGACCAAATCAGGCCGAGGTTTCTCAACCTCCTTTGGCTCGTGACTCCCTTCTGGACTTTGGTATCTTCTGTGACCCAATTCCCCCAATTTTTTCGCATCCTCCGAAAGTTAGGATTCATAAAAGTCAGACATAGATATTTGGACTGTCGGGTCCCCATTGAGAAATTCCAATTTAGGGTAAGTGTGATTGGGATAGTCCTTTGACGCCCTGTCGTCATTAGACTAGATGGCATCTTCGATAGAACAGTCTTCAGTGTGACACTATGGTAGTCAGTCTGTGAGTCAACGGGAACGCGAGTCTTGCCATTGACGTACTTCCGTCCCGTGACCATCTAACGGGGTGATGAAGTCACATGCGGATGTGCAATGTCATTTGTAATTCTTTCGTTCCATCACCGCATTAGGATACTTTGTACGACATTATTCGCAATCTTTCAACGTCTAGAGAACAATCGGAGAGTAAGAGGAAAGAACAGGGAATGCTCACTTAGCGATTTGAGGTGTACATTTTAGCAATGACAGAGCTGCAGTTAGGATTGCGCGTTGACTTTCTTTAACACGATGTTCATCCACCATACATCGATTTCGTCTGTTAAACTCGTAATATTTTTCTTTCCTTCCATTGACCATTCGATTTCAGGATCTAAAGATACAGAGAAATTATAAAATTGGTCGAGCATTAAGTAACAAACGGTTCCACTCGCGAAATAGCATCTTAAGATGTTGGTCGAGAGATAAAGGGGTCAAGTGTTAATCAATAACGTACGATATCGACTTGAAATGGGTGCTTCTGTTGCTGGGTATTACTGACGATGGTAAACGAGTAGTCGAAACTGAAAGCTAATCGATAATTTCTTCCATCTTAGACGTTAGATACCTGCAGGTATAATAGAGTGTCGAGTATCGGCGACATAACGACGAATCTAGGTCGTCATTAGATGCGATAATTTGCAACCTCTCTATATCGTTCGGAGAAACTACGTATTCCTTCTCGTGTACCACGGAGGAACAGAAGAGAATCCTCTGAGAGGAACGCGTCTCTAATTACTCGCACCGTAATAACTCCACCTTTCCCCGTGCAATTACAAACACTTTTGTCATTGACAAAAAATTAGTCACATTTATATACAAACGAGTGAGAGAAGATCGCGTGACGGAGACGATAATCAGCGAGATAGGGTCATAAAGAACTACACGAAGCAGTAACGCAGACATTGTATCAACGTTAGTTGCTAGAAAGAGTGATACAAAAAGGGTATTCGCTTGTAACAACTTACAAGAAGGACGATGCAATTTATCCTGCAATCAAGGACTTAGAAAGTACCTACTCGGTGTCATCCACCTATCTGATTTCTTTCTAGCTCAGCCCAGTGCGTATCTCTCGAATTTTACAATCCGTTCTACATTTAACTAGAAGAAAAAGGAAGAGGCAAAATTAGTTCTGGGTACTCGCGCAAGAAGACCAGGGCAGTAGCTTTCTTCGTCGGAGAGGAGGGTGATTCGAAATACGTGCTCCTAATTAGCCTTCGCATCGGCTCGATCCGCGAGGATCGGTCAGGAGGGGACGTTTAAAAGCTCGCGGGACTCGCGGTGTTCATAAACCGATGAGATTTCGGCATTGAGGAATCAGATAGGTGGATGAACTGTTAATGAGGCTCGTTTTCGAGGCTCCATTAACACGGTACGCTGCTGTAGCAGTTTCGTGGCCGCAGATACGAGCATGGACTGTGGTCACCGGTGCACTGACCTCCGATCCATTGCTGGCAACCAACGAACCGACTACTCTCCGAGTGAAAGTATCCGCGGATATACTTGCTTAGTATATCCATGGCTGGCATGTGCGTGCACAAATATACAGGGCCGAATATAGCCCGGCATACCGGCGTATCCCGAAGCTATGCCGAATTCTGATTTCTCGTTGCCCGTGCACCAAAATGACTGGTCCCTTTCGCAGAAAATTTTCCTCCCACAGTGCTGACCCGCTGAATCATCGTTCCCGATCTCGCGTTTCACGGGAAAAAGGCTCGTTGGAATATTCGCGACATGCAACAGACGTGTAACCAACGTCACTTTCTCTGTATCGAAGTCTAAATTCGTTTCATGTTCGAGCTCCCGTCTTATCTCGTTCGAGAGAAGACGCGTGGTCGTTGTTCGTTTATTAATAGCGGCTGGCGATTTTTTCGCCTTCGCGATGCTGCAAGCCGGCTGAAATAGCGTTGATCCAGAGTCTGGTCGTCGTGGACCTTCTTTTACTCGAGATAGGGTGCGATAAGTTACGAGACTCGTTCCGAGATACTGGACTCGCGCGTCGCTTCGAAATTCGCGGGAATCTTGTTACACATTACTCGATTCCCTATTCGTTTCTTCTTTCAACCACTCCAAGATCTTCTTGGTACAAAAATTCGAAGCTTTTCTCATATTTCCCGAGCCCGGTGATACCACATTCACGTTGAAATAAAAAGGGAAACTCGAGGGCAGTTCGTTTCAATATTTCACGACTGACTGACAACGAGAGTCATCTGCATCTAAATACGTGTCATACCTATTCGTCATTTCTGTCAAAATAAAATTCACGTTGATCCTGTCAAAGGCAGCTACACGTTCTCGTGAAGCGTCTCTGAAAATGGAAGGTCTCGCGTTTCGAAAATTCCAGCATTAAAGCGGACGAGGGTAATTACGTTTCTATCTCGATAAAATTGGCGATTAATTTTCTGAAAGCACTAATTGCAAAAAGCCAAAAATTTCGCGGTGTTAATAATCCTCGCGAAAAGAGAATCGCGATAACCATCGGGCGAGCGCGGGTAGGAGAAACCGAATCGGTTTCGTTGCTCGTAAACGAAGTTAATTAGCCCGCGAGATCGTTACAGTTACAAAATAATTAGAAATAAAGCGTATCGTAGGACTAGCCGGCATAACGTGTTGCTTAGCGATTCTTCGATGCTTCTGGTATCGCTGCCGGTGGTTTCTAATGGAAATCGCGGAGAAGCGCGCGTCCAGCATAATTCTTTTCGCTGATGGTGCACGCGTTGGCACGCGAACCTGTGTACGAGCTTTCTAACCGATTTTAATACCGTCGAGTGGATTAATAAGCCTCGATCCGCGGTAGATTCCGGATCGATGGGATCTACGCGACAGGGTTATCGTGAAAGAGGAAAGGTCAGCTAACGAACGATTCTCTCTAACTATGGAAATAAGTGTGCCATCGGTGAGATTCTCTCCTGCGGAGAGAACGCGTCCCCTCACGCGCGTTAACGTCGAATAGAGAACTCGGCGAATATTAATTCGTCGCCGTCTAGAGAGCCATAGCAGTTTATCACTGGAGACGTGTCGTCTATGTATATCGTACGGTATCTCCTCGCGCGAGCAAAGCTGGATTTCAGGTCAATGTTAAGCAGATAATATCGATTCTATAAAATTGTAAATTTTAAGGCTGCAGGAAAAAGGCTTCGTTAGACACGGTTCGCTTGGACAATGCCTGAGAGATTTCTATCGTCGTAATTGCAGGAAATTAGATAAATAAGGATATAAGCGTTGTCACGTGGCGATGATAATTAGCGTCGAAATGGATGTCAAATGTTTTTTTAGCAACAATTCGATGGTAGATCGATGACACGTATGTGTATACAATATTTTTCTCACGTGTCGGCTTAGAGCTTAAAATTTCTCCATAATAAATTGCTCGCGAAAGGAGGATCTTGAAAATTTACAGAGTGAACCGTACAAATGAGACCACTCGATTATTTTTATCGTGTTCGCGAATACGAGCTTTATTTACATAGATTGTACGGTATTACGAGGAACGTGGTACTTCATAGATCGAGATCTCGAGTGTGAAATCAATTTTTCATCTCTAGAATAGCGGATATTTAATGACGCTTGAAACGGTACTCGTTGAAAACATTCCAAGTGTTCAAAAATATTATTCCACTCTATATAAGTAGAATTTCTAGTTGAAGAAGGTGATCTTCATGATCAACCAATGAAACTTTCATACTTTATCCTTAACACCAAACCTATTACCAATCAAATGACCGGTAGATGAAAAAATAAAAGATCTTTAAAAAAAAAGACGTGAAAGTGGAAACGTGGAAAAATTAATTTCACGCATATCAGAGGAAAAATCGCGAAAGTAGGTAATCAAAGCGATAAAATTGGATCGGTAATTTTTAATAGAAATTTTGAAATTGGTCACTTAGGTCACGGTAGGTTTAGTGTTAGATCAACAACATGTTTTCGAACTTGGTGAAACAATACGTACAATTAAGAAAGCTGTAATAAAAAGAAAAACCGGTTACCTAACGTTAATATCTCTTTGTACATCGATTCGAATTATATTTGATAATTATAAAAGATTCATCATAGACGTATTCGTTGCGAGAGATTCTTCGTTTCGTTCCAAGGGCAAACAAGGAATCAGGAGATATCAGGATAATGGCTATATCCAGCAGCATCAATTATCCATATTACCGTTCAATTATCCTGAAGAATATAATTGTACTCTAGGTTGGCCAGTGACACAGCGTGTCGGAGGAAATTGATGATGATCGCGCGTCGAGGAGCAGATATTTTCGAAGTTCCTGTCCAAAGGAGGCAAAGCGTGCCGCAATCTGGCACATCACAAAGGCCAATCACATTTTCTATACAAACGGAAAACATCGTGCGATGACAATCGGTTATGGAAGCCGGCTGATTTCGAACGATTCAGCGTTAATCGGCTGCATCGTGCGTTCAACGTTGAACGGAAGTCGTCGAGAGGCAGCAACGCGCTATCAATTATTAATGAATCCCGACCTCGATTCCTTTGCCGAAGTTGTTTGCCACTGTAATCGTTACCACGTACGTAGCTACATTACGATACGACGTCCTCTTCGAGGCGGATGTATAATCGTGCGAATCGAATTAATCGAAAAGAAATCCCGTGACTCCACCAATCGTATGACTGCGTGGAATTAATTTACCGGGAAATTTATGCACCCTCTGATTAAGCCGTGACGACCTCGCCATGCCGTCGGTTTTCACGCTCCCTTTGCATTTATTCGATTTACGAAATACTTTCCACCTTCTTTCTCCGCCTTTTCCGACTCCACGATCCGATCTCGTCGGGTTTGATGACCACGTAAGCAGATTCGATCGCAGTGGTAGGAACTTATTTAACGCAGGGACGGTGTCGCGATACAGGTTATACCTGGTTTGATCTCTTTGTTCTGCTTTCACCTGGTAAAACGCAGCGCAATCGCGACAATTTCTCGTTACGCGTGCACGCGTATGCATCATCATGACGCAAGACGCGCGAGTCCGATGATGAAACTATAGCGAGCCGTGTTCTCGATCGTTAAACAGGTCTAACCGCGATTAATACATCTTTAAAAGACACGTCTATCCAATGAAAAATAGAAAACGTCGATAATTTCGAGAAAAAGTTGATCGAGTTTGCTGTACGTATTTACACGAGGAAACTGGCTGGACTCGTATCAACGGAAACCACGTTGGATTGGCCAAAGTTCAATGGCCAAAACTCAAGCGATTACGAATAATTAAGAAAGAACACGTTAGGATTTCCACAAACTAATCGCTATAGTCACTACGCCTAACGAATGACGCGATAAAATAATTCGAATAGCGATATATAATAAGCGAGGATTTGGCTTTTGACCACAGACGTCATTCGGGCATTGAAGTCTCCAGCCTCTTCGCCTCGCAGTGGCATAAGGATAAATTATTCGCAAATCATGCGATATCTTCTCGAATATTTTTGATATGCAAAGTACGCTCGCACTCTAACAATTGCACGGACAAAACCTAGAAACTTGCGATTAACCTTCTTCCACTGTGACGTTTCGGAAGGCGAGTCCTCGCGGAGTATCTCCTATTAAACCCGGGACTATGGGTAAAAAGGGAGGAAAAGAAGCTTTTCCATTACGCGTTTAATGGCACAATATCGTCCCGGCCAAGTGTTCCCGGCGTTTAATGCAACGACGTGCCCGCATGTGCACACGTATATCGCTCACGAGCGTGTAAATATCGCGTTATCGCCGGCGAAATTTGTTACGGCCGTGGGTCTCGTAAATAAAAAGCGGAGGATGAACCCGTGGCGATTCTTATCGGGGATCCTGCTCTTCTTTCGCCGGTTGCCACTCGCGAGGTCGTCTTCCTCTCCGAGGCCGTCACGTTGCAGTCGTTTCAAGAGCAACGCCCAGCCTGTGCTTATATCCCTGACGGCAAGAAACGAAGAGAAGCCGAGGAAGGGAAGCGAGTAAGAAGCGGATAACGAGGTGAAGGAGAGAAGAAGGAAGGAGGAACGGTCATCAGCGGAAAGATTAAGAGGAGGAGCAAGGACCTTCGGCAAAACCGGTCATCGTCGTTCGTTCGTTCGTCCGCGTAAACGCGTCTTCCACCTCGGAGAAGAGATCGCGCGGAACCATTACTCGCACCGTGGATCCGCTCGGTAGATCTTACCAGACAACGCGTATAAATTCCTTGTTCCTACGATACGACGTCCGCTTCGTTTACCGTGTTTGTGAATCGCTCGATTACACGCCGCTTCGTTACCGATCATCTCTTCTAACCGTTACTGTCGGTCGTCGCGTTGCTGTGTTTTCGTTACGTTCGCGGATGCTGCGAAGACGTCCTTGCAACATCTATCCAGGATTTTCTCCATCAAATTTTCTTCTCTTTGCTTTATTTTTTGAGGCAAGAGTTGTCAATTTTCTTATTCTTCCTGTATTCTTCGAGGCAAAAGTTGTCGTCAATATCCTTTTCCCGTGTGATTAAGTAATCGTCTTTGGAAATTCGGTGCCCATGGTAATCGTATTTTCTTTCATCTTCTCGCCAGGTTTTCGAACGTGTTAACGAGTTTCTTGCACGCGTTGTTTACGAAAAGCATCGAGAGCTGGAATCGTCGCATGACTGTCGAGTTTTCCACGAGAATGGAAGACCGTGGGACGGATATGCAAATACACGAATAACTTTCACGGTACCACGGTCGATCGTGTAAGTTCCGGTGGGTGGCGTGGGTGTTCATCAGGTGGACGTTCATGGTGCGTTAGCACGAGGATCGACCTTACCGAGATCGATCGATGAACCTCGATCACCGCCGCCTTCTACGCCCACGTGAGACTGCGCGCGATTAAAACTGGTCGAAAGCACGCGCGTTTTCAAACTTTCTTTCTTCCTATTACTGACACCATCTCGTCACCATTTACATCCATCACGTTGACTAATAATTACATAACAGTAAACCAAGAAAAAAAACGTACGAATGAAGACTTAATACCACGAATACAAGCAACTGCTAGATAATTAATATCTAAGTCGTACTCTGTATATTTATATCTCTATCCGAACAAAAAATAAAATTAATCTTGTCAAGAACAGCTGTATCTCTCTATGAACTATAAAAATAAACGATCTAAAACTGCTGAATCTTCGTGGAAGAATAAGAAGTACAGCTCTAGTTCTATTTAACACAAGACATGTCTGCACCGATCGACGGTTCACAGAAGAAACGAAGACACGAGAATGTCATTTGACATGTTATAGATAAAGTACATATCAATGATCAGAGATGTTGCGATTATGAGTATTTGGGTATCGACCAATTCCTCAGTTCTTCCAGTTGATAATCATGGTGGTTCCAGTGTGAATGTGGCCTGCCGAAGCTTAGAGAAGTACACGTTGATTTGATCAAGAGCAACTGCTTGCTTCGAGAAAGTTTTAGCCCAGTCATTTCGTCCGCTCTGACAATTCTAATCTCTGAGAATAATTCTTCCGACCATACATCGACATCTTGACCGGAAGTTAAATACAGGCAGCAGGCGCGAGGAAGAGTCTCATGCGTGGCTGCTCACGTGATGGACAAATAAGCGAGCACTCTTCGAGCACTTGCCGTGGTACTCACTTGGCGTACGCTTTCTCCAGAAGAGCCGGCCAGAATTGATCACTGTGACGACTTTGCATGAAAGCCAGCCGTCCGTGAATCGCTGGTAGCCTGTCGTCGACGAGAACTTCGACCCATGCTCCGCACCACCACAACCGGAACCTGAAGACCCCGGCGTACTCAGCTGTCGGTGACCCGGGTGGTTCTCCGCAGTTCCCGAATCCTTGATCCGCAGGTACCACCCTGTAGAACAGCCCTTTGCTCAGGTGAAGCACGCCCAGGCAGGAAATCAGCCACTTGTCACCTGGAAAAGACGTCGGCGCGTGAATGTTAATCGCACAAAGTGTTCGCATGCGAGGGAAATTCGATACAAAGGACGATTTTTATTCTCGCAAACGACACAGGTTTCGAAAGATATCTCGTTACACGCGCAACCTGACTTTCTTATTTTCCGCGCTATTAATAACGAAACTTCCATGTAAACGGTGGCACGATTATGTAAGCAGCAACAAAAGAATGTTATTTTATTAACGAGCTTACGGAGATTACTCGCATGTTGTTGAATGAACTTTTACTGAATAGGAATTAAGCGTTATGTGCTAATAGTTGGTACTGGGTGCATTGATCTTCGCAGAAGAATAGTTCCTAGTAGGCAATGGGAGACTGCGAACTGTGTTTCATGAATTAGGGAAATTACGGCTGGCTTTTCATTATTGAAAATGATTTGTGTATGCTATTTGTTCACGTGTATGGGGAGTGAATCACACGCGAAGATATGGAAAATATGCAACGTATCTTATTGTTTTAATCAGATGCATCGCGAATTAAATGGAGCATCTTAAACTCTGCGAGTCACGAGAATCATCCGCAATCGCATTGTTCGTGGAAACATTATTCGTGAAATTATTCACTGGATTTGTCAGAGAGTGGTAAATAAGTAAAAGGAATATATAAAAGGAAAGTAAAAGCGTATTAGCGCTTGTAAATATAAGAAATTGGCGTGTAACTCTCCCTCGCTTCGCGTTTCATGCTTAGATATGGAAACGTTTAACAGACAACCGTCATAATCGATGATTAGACCTTCGAGAAGGAAAGTTAAACGAAAGTTGAACGAGCAATGAGTCGTCGCGATGTTTCATCGATGAAAATCTTCTCACGACGTTACGACACGTGTTGGAGGATTACGAATCTGTTTCGTCTCTGCGCGAAGTTCATCAGGGTTCTTCTATAATTTATTCCATAATTTATTCCGTAATTTATTCCATAATTTATCTCATTTATCTACTCTTACGTTCGCTTCCACTTAAGTGGAAAAAAATACCGCATGAATCGCTATTTACATCAGCGATTTAATTACATACGGCTACTTAAAGAGAAAACGAACTCGATGGAATGAAAATTCTACCAGTTCTGTGGAAACTCGAATATCGCGTAAGTTCGTCGTATTCGTATTTGTTTATAGGCTAATAAGATCATTCTCTCGCGCGCGATTATACAGACACGGTACATGAATATTTCTTATTGGTCGAAAGTGTTACATCAAGTGCATAAATCGGATTTCTAGCATTGCGTGACGAAGAGAGCTAACAGGGCAAGTATGTATCGAGATCAAGTGAAACAGTACGATAAGAAACGATAAAAAGCATTAATGCAGACCTAGATGCAACTGTCTGTGGAAATTGCCACGATAATGTAAAAACCTTTAATTAAATTGAAAAATTTTCCTTTTTCAATATAGCACACGGTAGGTATATTCAAATTTTACCGATCCGATTTCTAAATTACATTTATCGCAAAAAAGATACGATTCTGCAAACGCGTAAAGGAATTTGCAATTTTTATAGCACGCGTGGAAGAAACTAACAATATCCAATATTCATGTACTGGATCTTCTAAGCACCTGGTTACTGCTCCGTTTGCCCAGTGCTAAGAGCAGTAACTAGCATAGAACAGATGCAAGTGATTAGCATAAGACGCAGACCACGATTCCGTGACTTGTTCTAGTAATTATTATGTTAACACGCGTCGTTAAAAATCTAAAAATATGAAAAGTACGAAAGACAAAGTGCGACGTGGTAAAGAGAATTCCTCTCTTACCCTCCTATCACGTGGCCAATTATCCAACTCTATACCGACTTTCGTTACTGTATTATCGTGCTCGTTGTCATCGACGTATTACCAAAATACCAGCCATCTCATCGAGTTCTCGAGATTCGCTCCAAAAATAGCCGCCATTAATGGCCAGCGTCGAATTATCCGTGGACGACGAAAAACGTCATTACGACACACCTGGACGAAAATATCACGGTTCGTTCACGCGTGATCCACTCTCGCCGTGTTCTCTCTTTAAAATTAACATCGACGCCGATCTCGTCGACGTTAAGTCGACGATCGATCATCTCGGGCCCGCGCGGCTCGATCAAATTGTGTCTCTATTCAAACGATGCGTGCATCGATCCACTTTCACTAGAGACCCGGTTCTGGACCGCAACCGATTACGGATGAGCTAACCGGTGTCCAGTGCTCGACGTGTTAAACAAACATTTTCCAACAGAACCGGCGTTCCTTCGTCCACCTTTTATAGCCCAGGCGAGGAATAATAACCACGAAAGCGTGTCCATTGTAATTACGCCGCGGGCGTTGCTGGACGTTCGCGCTGACATCGGTGTCAAGAACTGCAAATACATTGTGCAACGAATGCACGAGACGATTTACGGAGGTGTATCGGCTTAAAGTCGGATTTTTACGAGGGACACTCGCTGCGTAACGATCTAGAAGCTGTATCTCGTGACTTCATCGCGACCGTGGGGATTTAATTCGCCAACGCCGTGAAAGTGATACGAGCAAACGAGCGAGCTTTCGCCGAATGCCAGTGAAATAGGGGATAATCACGGAGAAGGTAGATACGAACAGCGATTATGAAGCGTGACGCGATCCGCGTAATTCGTTATGTCGCTTTTTAATTGTCCTTTCGACTCTGTGGATATTAAACATGCGAATAATCGTTACCACGCTCGCGTTACGCTCGCATTTTTCCCATTGGATCGTAAACATGTGTGCCAGAGAGCTTGTAGAGCGGAAAAAGTGGTGCCTCGATTATTCAAATAAACGAGAAGGAATGGTTGCCTACGATTTATCGCGCAACCCGCTATCACGACGCCCAGTGTCTCTCAATCACTGTCTTCTCGCATCTCCGATCCTTCGAAATCGTCAATCACGCGGTTCAATCGGTACTCAACCATAAATATTCGTATTCCCTAAATTTTCGGACGACAGCCAATTTCTACGCGTTGCATCCATCCGGATTATCAGTTTCCAATGAAGCTCGTATGAATCTCAAACTCACTCGCTGTGACCGAAGGACTTTTGAGATTCGCGTTGCAAAAGAACGTGCAATCGAGATCCAAGAGTGCGATAATTGGTCACGCATACTTGTGCGTCTCACTGCGAATCCCATATCCGATTAAATATTAATCGATGAACCGATAAGATGCGATTAAGAAATGTTTATCCGATATGCAAAGAAAAAGAGCGAGAAAAATGATCGGACACCTTTGCCACGCTCGAGCAATCTGATTTCGTAACAGGAGCAATCAGAATGGTCTTAATGTAGGTCGAAAAGAAATGATCACGTGTCGCCGTAATCCCGCTCGCCAGCGCGTGCTCTTGCGTGCTTATGCACGCTAACGGGACACGGTGCTGTGAACGCGTCGTCTTCGAGAACGCGTTTGCACGAATTCCCGGATCGCTCGACTTCCGTCCACGATGCTGCTACGATGCTAGTGAATTACGCCGGCTCCCCACGGGACGGAGATTAAGTTCGCGATGCGTTCCACGCTCTCCAAGGTACCCGGCGTCGTAACTCGTCGACCGCGATGCGACAGGTCGATAGAACCCGCGGTTATGGGGTTCTTGCTGTGTCACAGCCATTTGCGAACATGTGGATACGAGAATAGAAATAACGAATCGCCGAGAGTAATCGTCGCGGAATTATTTTCGGAGCACGAGACAGGAGCGGGTTTGAAAAGCGAAGGATCTGGATTTGATCTGGATTTGATCTGGATTTGATCTGAATTTGATCTGAATTTGATCTGGATTTGATCTGGATTTGATCTGGATTTGATCTGGATTTGATCTGGATTTGATCTGGATTTGATCTGGATTTGATCTGCATTTGATCTGGATTTGATCTGGATTTGATCTGGACATAGACACGACTTAGGTCTAGACAGGATTCGACGTTCATTCTCGGGTCGTTGATACGAGATACGAGTTAAGGAGTGGCTAATTTGATCAGGAAAGGAGAGACTTTTAATCTTGTTCTCGACGAGTTTTGCTCTTGGAATCGTCGATACACGTGCAACGGAGGATGCTGTATAAATTGCTAATCGAATTATCAGCATGCTTCGCGAGGAACAGGAAGGATTTTTATTTAGTCGACTTGATTTGGATAAAGGTTTCGATTTACAAGGCAATAATGTTCGTGTAAAGATAATAAAGGAATAAGCATTTCTAAAAATTGACTTTTAACTTCTGCATCAACGCAGTCTGTTATTTCATAAGTTAGAATTTTTGTCTACTATACGCTAGTAACGATTTCGAGCTTCGACGATTGTCGGTAATGAAGTTGCTCAGTTATTTCTTGGAATCCGAGAGTAAATTAATAAATAAGGCAATACGAAATAGTACTAATTTTGCAATATTGAGAGTCACTGACTTCCACGTTCTTCCGAGACAATATAAAAATGGAGGTGCACGAGGTAGCCATAGGATTATCATACAATACGGTAGTTCGATTATTCGTTAATTAAATCTCATGGAATATCGATTAAATCGGTACACGATTGTACGTGTCGCGACCCGAGTAAACTCGCTTGGTTCTAACAGCTCCGAGTCCGCAATGTCCCTAGAAACGACCACGCTGTATCTCCCACGTTCCTGAAAGGTTACCAGAGCCGCTTTCAGGGTTTGTACGATTTCGAGGTCGTTCAGGGAAAGATTGAACGAGTGTTTAGATTCCAGTTGTCACGATAATAACAACGCTGCATTAAATGGTAAATTGCAATGGTCGAAATTGTCTTGGAAGGTGTGACAGTATCTCGAGGATGTCACGAAGTCGTAATGATAATCTCTTCATCATTTTCCAGTCGAATGTTTCATGACGAAAATATAATACGAAGCAATATAAATAAAGTTAATCGTCGTAACACAATTTCCACATTCCTGTGGTATATGCAAGATAAGATAAGATAAGATAAGACACGATAACTATACGATGAACTCCGCATAATCTCCCATTGCGGAACCAATCAAGGTAAATTGATTCACTGATTCACGAGCATGCGTAGCGTATCATTAGGATTCTGCGCAGAAGAATGAAACGGAACTTGTTTCAGTTACGTTACTACTACTTCCGTGTTCGTTTTCCTTGCTGGAACATTTTCTATTTCCTGACTTTCTATGAATCAGGTATCCACTAAAAGAACCACTTATGTGAAAAATGTACGATAACGGTAATAATCCAAACGAGAAATGTAAATCTTAATTGACTTTCCAGACTTACCCATTTTTCCTAGGATTACGTCGAACTGGCCTGGTGTGTCGCTGACGAATATCGGACGGTTGCATAATTCCTGAAAACAGGAGGAAAAGATAGATTACTTCACTGTGTATAAACGGGTTTTATATATCCTATGCTGTAATTTCGTTTTTAGTAATACTTAAAGTCGCTAGAACCTTTATGCAATATTGGATCGTGTGAAAAGTTTAGAGCAATCAAGGATTTATTCTGTGTTACAGTATTAATTTGTCAGAAGCAATCCGACTAAAAAACTTGATTCACAGAACAAAGGCTGATTATATAACATTCCGTTTTATGTTCTACAACGCATAATTATTCCCAGAGAGACGTAGAACGTGGAGCTTAGGTGATCTTCGCCTCGTCGAAACCTTCGGAACGGATTTCTTGCAGCGCCATGGCTTTTTTACCCTCCCTTTCGCAAGCTAAGAACAGTTTCCACGTTGTTTCCGGTGTCGGAAGAAACATTTCCGCGAAATTCCTCACGATCACTCGACGTAAGATTTAGAATGGCAGCGCAACGTGACAGACAGTAGTTAATTACGGTTAATTACGATCTTAGGACGTGCCACGAGTGTTTGCCATACGTCATTTATATTTTTCATTGCCAGGTTCGTTCCACTTTTACCACGGTACATCCGATTCCTATTAACGAGCACATCTTTCACGATGAAATACGATAATTCGCAAAACTTCCCTAAGACGTTGAATCATTCCATGGGACTTCAAAGAATACGTTTATAGAAATAACCATGGATAATAAATTGTTACTAATTACTAGAAAGTCCCATGAAGGATAACACCTCGATGAACGAGTATAAATTACACACAGAATCGCGACACTAGCCATTTACCGTTAATGCATTAATCTGCGTAGACCTATCGCTTGCGACAATGTTAAATCATTTATATCGATATTTCAAGACTTCAACGCGAAGATCGGTGATGGTCGTTAATGACCCCATAGTGGACGTGTTAAGTAATTTCTTTCTGATTTATATTTTAGTCGTCGACGATCTTCCTTTTCAGCACAGGACATCCAGTCTGTCGTTCCTCTTCACCACTCGTGTCACGCTCACCTTCGATCCTTTCCGGTCGTGGTAAAGTGTGACGCGTAAATGCGAGTCTCACGTAATACCCATTGCGTGAACGCAATTGTCGACTGCGTTGTAGAAACGCACCGATGTCAGTTGCTTTTATTATGCTCATTATACGCAACACAGAGAGCCATAATGTCTCGTTCTACAGGCTAAATAGGCTCTAGTTACTCGTTGGAAACCTTGCTCTTTCGGATCGTCGTGCAGGTTGCGTAATTAATCTGCCGGATCATTGATCCTCGTGAAAATTCGCTGCTCTTATTAAACGAGTCTGTGGTCTGGAACGATATCTTTTCACGAATACTTGAAAACTAGTCGCTTCTTTGCGCTCGTACATAAATATCGCACTCATAGTTCCCCTGTTTAAGGAAATTCCGTTACAGATATTAATAGAGCAACGGTTATGTAACGACATTTTATTTAGAAAGGAACCGTTAGTAAGTCATGTACAGCGCAGATGCTACTGCCCGATTATAAGCACGAAGACGACGAAGACATACACTATGTGTCAAGGTTGCATACTGTCGCCGTTACGGTTCCTAGGTTTCAGATTCGCTGTCCTTCCGTTCTGCAGGAACCGAAGCAAGTCAATGTCAGCGATCTTCTCCTTTAATATTAAATCCCTGTAGTATATAACAATAGGGAATTATTGGGCTACGGAACATACCTGGAACCACCCCAAATTCATGAACTCTCAATAGACAAGTTTTGAGGTCACGAAAGATGAGTGGTGCTACCCTAAATTCATGAACTTTGGGATGGCTCTAGACAGGTCTTTCGAGTTTGAAGGCGTGTTGGATACAGCTTTACAACTGCAGAGTGCCTTTGCCCGAGTCCCTCCTCCATTCTCAGGTCGCAAATAAGGGTGGTTGCAGAGGAGTTCCTCGACTTCATAGTCACCTCAGATGAGATCCTATAGTTTATAGTTTCTCGGCGGCTCAGTTTAGCTAGAGTCCCGGAATTTGGTTCACAAGATTAATTACAGTCTTTTGCGTAAATGCTACGAACGAATTGCTAATTAATTTCAGTAGTTACCTTTGGTCTCTTCCATTGAAATTGAAACGGAGGTGTTTGATGGTAGAAGACCGACGTTTGTGTCGCTGGAAATTCTGGGTCTTCCCATAATTCACCTCGTTTCAAGCACGAACGCTTGATTCGTTCGTACTCGCTCATTACGTCCTGTAACAATAGAATTCCAACCGTTAGCAACAGTTATTAAAATTTTCGATCTTTTTACATCGTATTACGTATTTACTTTCTATTGCTTCATTCACCAATACACCACTGTCTGTTCTATGAACCTATTAATTTCTGCAACGAACCTACGATTACATCTGTATCAGTACGTTGCGCTCCCAATTAATTTCTACTTACAACAAGTTATGTGTAAAAGGTGAGAACTAACAGTACCGGTCGTTTCTTAGACGCTCCCCATACTTAAGTCGCTATTATAACGATTGCATGATTGCCACGAAAGAATTCCGTCACGGCTTTTCATTCGCAACATTACGTACAATACCTTTAAATATTAATATTCTATCGCCGACATCATCAGCGCTTAAATTACGTAAGATAGCGAGCACCGTGAACATCAGGCGCATTAAAAACGCTTATTACGACCTCGATAGGATGTGATAACGCGTTTCAAGACCTCATCGAAGACCCATTGTATCGAGGTCAACACTTTCTCTCCTGGCTGCAAGTCTTCGTTACTCAGACAACGTTTTCCTTTATAACCGCAAGTAAACCCATTCCAACCGATGAAGAAAATATCTTTGGGTAATCATCGGACGTAAAACGAACAAGGGGGTTACGGTTTATAACTAGCTTCGAAACACGACCCTTTGGATTTAATGTTACGCACAATTTTCGCGTCGTAAATCCTGATCCGCATAGTACTTACAATTAATGGCTCAAATGAACGCCAACAACTGCTTTCGTTTCGTTTAATGAAACGAAACAAGTGCGTAGCGATCGAAATCGAAGGTTATCTTTCAACTTCATTTTCCTTCTTGCCAGTTCGAAAATAACGTGACGATTACATGCGAGGTTCGATCAAACGATAGCTGAATTCTCCTTTTCAAACCAACAATACCTGTCCGTGGCAGTGTATAACAAATTATACATACTAATTCCATAATTATCGAGCAACAATAAGATCTTCATTTCTCTCTTCCAACGACTTCTGATTTCCTGGACTAAAAATTTCATTAAAATAGAGACATTTTCAAACGAGTGTAAGAAAGAAGAACATACAAAACCTAATCTGAGAAATCGATTGCAAAAAGTGCATATAACCAGAACTTCTTCACGAGGTTAGTGCAGTGTTAGCAATAATATCGTAAAACTGCTGAATAAGGCTGCTTGCAAGTGATCATTACAATGTAAACTGATCCCGTGTAAATGATAATGTTTACAACACGACGATAATCGTAGGCATTACTTTTCTCCCTTTTCAATGGCACACGCGGTTTCTTTCGCCTAGATCGCAACGTAGATGCGATCGTGGCACGATCTCTCGTGGTGCCCGTGCAAAAGTAAACGCTTTCGAATCCTAACGAATCGGCGATTTCCCTCGGCGAATCATTCGTTTGTTATTACTTAAAATCATCGTCACGGAAGAGATACCAACGGACTAGCCGTCATTGGTCATTGCAACGCGCGAAATGAGGATGTTCGTCACGGTTGAACGAGCGGTGACACCGAGATTATATTTTGCAACAACGACGCACCTGATAATACATTTTCACCGCGTGCAGGCGATAATGCGCGGGAGAAGGCGCGCGCATGCGCACGCGCACGCGCAGTCGTGAAAGCGTCACGATTGCGAAACACACAATTACTTCGGTTGGACCGCCACGTTCTGGCCATTGTTCCAGCTAGCAGCTAACCCGTCCACGGAACAATCCGGTGCACCAATTAAGATCGCAACGAGTCGCTACCGCGTAGCGGCTAATTAGAATGCCTCTGACGACTCTTCTACATTTCAACGGTTCACCATTTTCAGGTATAGCGTTACCTTGGCATACCGGTCGAGGTGCGCCTTTTTCTATTGTTGTCATTCGAGAAAGGGTTACCTCTGTTTAATTCTTCCCTTTCACGACAGGGCGGAGACATTTTATAGGAGCTATCAGCGACTATTTTACGCTTTCCATTCTTGAAACAATTGTATGGATTTAAGCCGCGTATCGGAGCGATACAAGTGACGACATCTTACAAACGAACGAGGAAGCCTCAATGTGAAATGTGTGAGAGCAGAAGTCACTGTGAGACATCTAATAGCCAACTGCATCAATTAAGATCGAGACGAGTCACTATAGCGGTTAGTTAAACTGCATCCGAGTCTTTTTCATGTTGAATCATCCTAATGGTGCATCATTTTTAGCTATATCGTTATCTTGATATTTATAGGTTAAGGCGTGCCTTTTTCCACTGCTCTCACTCGACTAGGGAAGGATTACTTATGTTTAATTTCTTCCTTTTGCAGTTGGAGGAAAGCTTTTTATACGAATTATCGGCGATCATTTTACGCTTTCTATTCGTAAAACAATTGTACGGATTTAACTGCGTATTGGACGGATACAATTCACGACGTCTTAGAAACGTGCAAGAAAGCCTGACTGTGAAATCTGTATGCACAGGAGTCACAGTGGGACATCTAACAGTCGACTGTGAAGCAGACACTTTAAGTAGGTGAAAATATAATATATCAAGAAAATTGAATAAATCGATGAAGTTTAAAATCGATTAATCACACGGTCTCCTGGTGCGTAAATTTTTATTCGATTAGTCTAAGGAAGTTCTGATCCTTTACACTGCAAGACTGTTTCGCTATAGCGAAGTAGCAACTTAGAATCGTTCTGTCGTGAAGTTAGTAACATTTTTATAACGTAAAAAGAAATCGTATGTAACTCCACGCAGAGAACAATTTTGTTGCAATGTTCCACGTGTCGTCACATTATCTTAAATCTGATATCGACTATAAATATTTAGAATTTCGCTGGGTGGCGACTGAAACGAGAGCCAGCCCGTGATTGTAAAGGCTTAAGTTACTTCCGGTATACTTATTTGTTTAATCAGAAGAAGTTACGTTGATACCTTGATAACTTTCTTTGTTTAGCCCGAGGAAGTGGCGATAATGGCAACCAAACTTGCTGATGAATTATGCTCGTTATTAAATGAATGTAACGAGCATGGGAGCCTTTTGTTGGATCGTGTCGCAGGTAACGCGTTCGTTGTAGCGGGAGAATGATTCAGACTGTCGCTGATAAATTTTAATCCAGCGAACCGGTTTAAAGGCAGTTGTTTCGGTAGACCGGTAACGAAGAGGAGCTTGGACGGTGGGGCGCTTAGGCGCGTGTTTCCTCGTGGAAATCTAGGAAACAGATCAACCGTTTCTCGTATAAACCAAGGCGCACCATGTCTTCGCAAAGCTTGCCTCCTGGATCGCGCAAAATACTTTCACTCGTTTCTGCTGTATCCTCAGCTTTAAATATAGAACGTCAAAACGAGCGACGTACGTTGTTTCAAGCATATCTGACGTCGTTGAACCGAGTAACAAGATAGTGAAAGAAGCAGGTCAGTTGCGACATCGTTCAGACAAGTGGCCTTGACCAAATCGCGTTAAACAAAGGATCAAGAAGGCATGAAGCAGCTTTTCTCGAGAACGACAGAAGACCGACATTCCGGAACTTCAACTCGGATGACCCCAACCCTAAACGCGAAGTCTTTGCGAAAATTAGCCAATTCGACAACGAAAATGCTCGCGAGCCGCATTTCGTTCCTTCATTTCGCAGGAAACCACGCGGATGTTTTATTTACTTTTACAAAATTACCGGTTGCTCAGTATCCTCTCTTTTTGCAGCAGCAGCAGCAGCAGCAGCAGCAGCTTCGCGGCGAGGCGCAATCATCCGACGAAGGGAAGCATGAAGCACACTCGCGGCGTGGTATTCCGTCAGAGATAGATGCCCCTGGCACGTACCACGGGGAGAAGAGATTTTACATTGTATGTGCCAGGTTATTCGACTTCGCCTTCCGCTAAACCGAACACTTCGCCGATCCACTATGTATATATATGTTAGCCGTATAATAGCTACCATACTCTCGTACCGGTCGGACTAGTTTCACGCTTGGCTCTCCCGCGGCCTTGAAGCGCACCAACCACCGCTGCAAACTTGCGACGAGAAAACCTTTATGGTTTTGCCTCTCCCGACGTTGTCGGACCCCGTCGTGTCTCTACGGATCCCGACTCCCCGCCTTCCGGAATTTCAGCTGTTGCCTTTAGCTCTTATAGCTACGATAGGAACAGGCCGAGAGCCGACCCAGGACGCAAATTACCCACGATTCACCGACGTGCCTGCGGCTCGAAATGACGACAGTAAAACGGACCGATTGGAAATGTTTTCCGTTCTAGAGGCGCGGTCAGGGATGATACGAATTTCGAGAGTACGCGGAAAAACGAGGTACAAGTCCGGTAAGGTAATCGGTAATTATTCTCGGAAGATGTCGGTAAAGAATGCGGACTGAAATTGGAAGAAAGAAACTTGGTCTCCTTATTAGAGCTACAAGTTATATCGAGATAAGAGTCATAGGTATTGGGAAGAATACGAGGTTTATTGCGGAATACGTTCACTCTAGGTTCACTTTTAAAATCGACACTTGGAGAATTATTGGCTACGTGAACGTGATTCAGTATTTACCTCCTCGATGACTAATCGTACACTTTCTATTCCCTCGGTTGTTTTTCCCATTCTACGTATACGTCCATGGTCCTTTACACGAGTCCTTTGAAAACAGGTAGATCAAAGTACAAAGGTCCCTGAAAAATGCGTCGTGATACCTGTTCTAGTCTTGAATATCGCTAATGGCGATCGCTTATAATTTATATCGACCAGCTGTTGACTATGGTCTGATAAAAATGAAATCGAAACAGAGAAGTTACTCAACGAGACGAGCGTGAACAATCGTAACTGCGTTCCTTTCGATTGGCATACGCAATCGATTATCATCGTACGGTTATGGTGGGTAATAGACAAGGTGATTGCGGCTTCGTCGTTAACAAGAGAAACGTGTATCAGTGTAGAAGATTACTTCTGCAATGTGCCAGAGCGCTCGTGGCAAGCTACTCGCGTAACGGGATACCAACGAGGAGAGTTCTCTGCAACCTCGTGCACTACGACCTTA